GTAACGGTTACAGATATATCTGTTGAGATCTTACATGAGAAAAACATGTTCTTTTTACATAATTATTTGCTGTAATATTACACGCAAATAATCTGTAACCATTACAGATATATCGTTTGGGATTTTACATAAGAAAAATATGTTCTACTTACATAACTATATGCTGTGATATTACAAGAAAAAGATCTGTAACCATTACAGGCAAAACTCTTGTAAAGTTACAAAGAAAACACCTGTTGCTGTTACTCAAATAACCCATGGCATCCCAGTTTCCATGAGTTTTCTTAGTAACCTTACAGATTTTTTTTTACAGTGGAATACGAGTTCATCACTGAAGATTCACTTAAGATCTCAGAATAGAAAAGTTCATTTTAAATGTATAATTGGAATAGTTTTTTAACTAAGTACTTAATATCTAAACCTTGTCATATGGTACAAGAATACTTGTTCACCAAGTCAGGAAATAACGCACTATAAATAGAAAATTTCAAAATACCATTAGAAGTAAAAGCAGCCACTAAATGACTGATTACTGCCGTAAGAATTTTACAGACTTCGTAAATTTGTTTTGATGCATTTTGCCTACGTAATAGTAATTGATAGAAATTAACTGAGTTTAATTTTCGTTGGATTATCGGTGTTAAGTGCAGCAAAAACTTTTTTTTCCGTGCATGCCCATCCATGCAATATTATACAATAAATTCTACAGCTTGGAAGAAAGGTCTGTAAACACTGAACTCAGTATTAAAAAGATAGCCATTTATCTTTTTGATACTGAGTTCTTGATAGACAGAGTGATACAAATTAATGCTAATACATTGCAAATAAAAAATAAAGTACATATATTATTAAGATATTTAGTGATGCAGCAAAGTGAAAAATTTTTTTAGAATTTCAAAATGCTGTTTTTTGATTCCCCAGGTGATCCATTTCAACAAATTGATTTAATTTGATTTCTTCCCCGGCATTCCACTACCCCAGAAGTATTACACGAGTTGTATAACACAAGGCTTAATTTTTAAGACATAACTAATAAACAATTATTTGCTTACATACAATTAAGGCAATTTACGCAATGAGTAACTTCTCAAAGTAAAACATTTGTTTTGAAATGTTTGCAAAAGGAATTTTCATGTATTTGCAAAAGGTAAATTAAATGTATTAGGTTTTAAATAAAATTAAATTTGATCTTCTAAATTGTCATTTCCCCTTCGATTCGTAATAATATGCTGTTGCATAAAATATTCTGATCTCTAAACATTTATATACTGGAAAGGTATTGGTCTACAAAAATCAGAATGAAGCTCTAAACTAATTTTATCATTTAATTGAGATAGTTTTCCTCAGGTTTGACAAAATTAAGAAATTTTTAGGAGAAAAAGTATAACATATTCTATATTTTTAAAACTTTCATTTACTGTAGTTTTTTGAATTATTAAACAATGTTTTGAATAAAATAATAACAATAAAATTATTTTAAACTAAATGTAATTAGTTTTCCTCAGATTCGTTATCATTAATATAATCATTTAGGGAAAGAAATATAAGACAATCTACATTTCTTAAAGCTTCCAATATTGCGGTATTTTCAGTATAATTAATATGAATTTCCTTAAAATAACAATAATGAAAGTTTCTCTTCGTCAGGAAACCTGTCTGCAATTTGAAGAGCTTTTTAAAATTCTTGGAAAAAGTGAAATTTTCAGTTGCTTATAGTTTAAAAATCTACCAAATCATGCTGCGTTTCTATTGGAATGATAGCTGAGTGAAAAAAGTTGCATTTCACTTTATTGGTTGAGATTTTATCTATAAAACAATCCCTATGATATGAAAGTTATAACAGGAGCAATAGGCAAACTCCTACTAAAATCCCCCGAGTGGTCCCAAAGTTAGTCTGTTTCTTACGAGGTCCATGCTAATTAGGCGCTCGTGCTTATGCCTTATGTTTCGAGACAAGGTTCTTTAATATAAGGTTTCGAGATAACGTTGACTCAGGGTGCCCGCTTCCTGACTGAAGGCGTTAAGTTACACAACAACTTTTCTTGGAGTTGCTGGGTTACGTTGCCTCAGTCTACTAAGAAAGCATACGCTCTCTTTTCATCTGTCTACTTTTTGTCAGTCTGTCGGAGCATGATGAAATCTGGTTTAATCCGCATTTTGGATGTCGGTGAAGGTGTATAATTGGCTTACATGGACGTGTAATCAGTCATTTTGGAAAGTCCGACAAACACTGAATTTTCGAATGGGATTTAAAAGTCGGGTCTGGACGGCCAAAGTGAATGGATCATTCTCCCTTCTTTGTACACAGGCTGCTGAGCAGGTCAAGCCGGCAACTGTTCCGCTGCCAGGTTCGTGGGCATTCATTGGAAATCATCGAATCTTAGTCCTGTGACAATTTAATGGAAGCCCAACCAAAGATCCTAAACTATTTAAATCGCGAAAAGACTAATCCTGAAAAATGGTTCTTTCAATCTCTGGACTTTCCTTGCGAATTAAATTTTATATATTATTGTTTAATATAATTATTTTACATTAATAATTGACTGATAACGTTATTTAAAGGTTTGGAAGTAATATAAATTAGCAGCTGATTGAAGAAAGTATAAATGTGCTAACTTTCTTTTAATGTGTTGCCTGATCAGAAAGCACCTTTAAAATGAATGCATTGAAAAAAAAAAAATAAGTTGGAAATTTAATGTCGCATTGTAATTTGATAACAATTGAAATATGGGTACTTTTCCGTTTCGCCGGCGCAAATCTCGTCAAGCAGACTTTATTGGCGACTACATACAGTATACACATAGAAAACGTGAACAAATGTTAGTTCTAAGAATTTTTTATTTTGAAGGCATAAACATTTTAATACCGTCTTAAATTTTGTAAGAAGCTAATAAATAAAGACAATAAATTTGTAAAAGGATATTAATTTAAGAACTTACTACGCTATCATGGTTCACCATTTTGATTCGCCGGTTCATATCACGTGACCCCAAGTGATCTCATCTCACGTAAAACTACGCTACAAAAATCTAATTCTCTCAGTAATTATCTACATTAATTTCACGTTAAATCCTAATTTGGAATACAAGTTTAAATTCAAGAATTATTCAAGTTCATACGAATAGCTTACTCAGAAATTATGTAAAACCGCAGTTCTTTACTTCGCTAGTGCATTCTTATTAGAACTGATGAATTTAACTCTTGACTTTGCCTTTTCTATATTTTCGCTTTCGGGTGAGCGGTGTGATTGCATCCTAATTAACTTAATTACCACGAATGGCCTTAAGGCATAAAATTGAACTATATGGGTAAAAATTCTATGTAATTTATGCCAGTATTGAAAGAAACAATCAATCTGATAAGAAATGACTGCGAATTGTTTTGAAAATGAGGTGTTAAAGGTTACCAGCGAGGATATTCCATTTGGCATCAGTTGCACCATTATTGGCGACTTTATCGCCTGCGCCGGCAAAAGGGAAAAATACCGTTTCGGTTAAAATGCTTTTTAAGTCAAAATTTCTGTCAAGTAATTAAGAACTGAAAATCTTTTGAGCTTTAAAACTGTTATAGTGATGAAATGTTATGGTTATTAAAATGTTACGGTATTACCTAAAATTAATTATGCAAACTACCATGTGTGCTCATCAACACGTTATCTTCAAATAAATACATTGCGCCGTATAGAATGCAATAGCCCGACTTTAAAGTTATGGTAAATGTTATCTTTTAATCTATTACTAGCAAAGTGTCGTTAGCATTTTCATGTATAGCGTGCAATCAATTTTTTGGATGCCGATTTATTAGTTATGATGAAAGTCAGTTACATAATATGTCAGTATGGTATTTTAAAAAAGCATGTGTGAGATATTATCGTCATGCGATGATTTGTAGGTACCTTATTTTTTTATCAAGATATTTTTGTTAAACGGAAATTTTTAAACTGCGAAGTATTTGAACCGCTTTATTTTCGACCACGCGATGTTTCCTTCCACGATGTTTTGTACCACGACGTTTTCGCATTGTGTTGTTTTCGTCTGCGATGTTTTCGACAGTAACCATTTTTCGTACGCAAAGAAGGAACTGCTTAACCCTTTGCGGCAGCGGCATAGTGTGTCCGGTCTGGACACACCTAAAATTTTTTTTCTGTACGCACAGAAAAATTGAATGAAAAAGGATTTATAGGTTACTCTGAACCCTCTTTATTTATAGTAGATGGCAGCTCAATACAAACCAGTCCATATATTTTAGCCATGTTTAGTTTTTTAAGACCCTCATTTTTTCAAAGAAATCTTCCAGATTTTTTTTTTAGTGTATAAAAGGAATTGTTTGAAAAGAAATTTCTATGTTATTTTTTTGGCTATATGCTAATCTCCTTATTCTATATTAGTTTTAAATGTTTACCTTGAAATCTTACCTAAAATCAAACAGCGAACCCTAGGTGTGCCCATACCGGGCTCACTGATAATCTAGGACAACTGAGAGTCTGTATTCCTTGTTTCTCGGCATCTCATTGGGCAGTTCATTGACAACAATGATCGTTTCAGCACTCTTTTCGAAGCTCTATTCAATCAGTGTGCCACTTTGGGCACACCCACAGAATTAAAATACGAGGTGCTATCTTCACAAAATTTGACTTGTGTACTTCTCTAGGCCTAATTAGACTGCCTACCTTTTATGAAAACTCAGACTTTAAAAGGTAGCGTGCCGGAAAGGGTTAATGTCCCCGTTCTCCATGAGCTATTTACAGCTCTTTATTTTCCCTGTGCGTCATTTTTTAAAATACACCTTCTTATTGCTCATCCAGCTCGATTAAAGAGACAGCCACGAACCTGTTGTTGGCAACAATATTTTGTGTGAACACTTTAAATAGTTTTCAATCCCATCGAATGTTGCACATAAATTTCTCAGTACACTTTAAAATACACTTATGCTGTTGAATAAAATGGCAATGATTAAATTAAATAATGCAACTGAAAAAGTATTTTCCGTTTAACTCTTACCTGCAAGTCCCCGCATTTGCTAAATTCAGGTGCCAAACGGTTGTACTTTGCGATCACATCATTTATATTTTCTCTCTGGAAATTGCGGCAAATCATTGTCAAGTACTATACAAAAAATTATCATTTGAACTTTACTCAAAGTAAATTTATCTTGATAAATAAATAATTTATTCTCAAATAAGCTGAATCTAATAAAACAATCGGTTATTTGTAAAAAAAAAATTAAGACAGTTATGGAGAAAGCTTGAACTAAGATAATACCCACTAATTAATTAAAGCTTGAAGTAACTGAACCAAACTTAAGCTGGAAAAGTACTTAAACTGAAGAAATTAAATTTCGACTTTGACTTTTTTGAACGTAAATTAACATTTTCGATTTCATTAAAATTTTTGATGAGCAGAAGAGTTTCTAAAAATTAGGCAGTCTTATTTTAGTCGTTAATCATTTATATTATTAAAAGTGGAATTTCAAATCTTTAAATATTTTAAGATGTGCTGTTTTATAATATAGGTGTAAAGTTCATCTTTTCTTATATCGGGTCTCATGAGCTAAACAACCGCTTGTAAATTTGCTCAGTTTAATATTTACTGCTTTTATAACCGTCAATCAGATTTTTCTTGGAAAATTTTTGTAACATTCAGAGATGTTACAGAATGAGAAACAGTCTTTTTCAATAAGACTAGGAATAATCCTCAGTTTTCTTTCTTTAAAAAAATAAGAATTTTTGAAATTATTTTTACTTGCTTTTAAAAAGTGCAGAATTATGGCAAGATGAATACTTATCCCTTGCAGAACTTTTACTCAAAGCCTAAATTTATCAAACTTTGATTACACACAAATATAGCTAATATTGTATAATGTTAATTTCCTTCGAATTGTTCAAGAACGGAAGAAATACACAATAAGACTGCTTTAAAAAGTACAAAATTAGGTAGTAGAGTAAACAGCTTAAATATTTGAAACTTTATGCATTAGGACTAAATTACCATGCTTTGTACATTCTCAAATGATGAATCTGATACCGGCAAAGATATTTCTTCTTGGAGGACATCCGTGGTATTAATTGAATTATCAGAGTATCTGAAATGAGTAAGAATAATTGGAAACAGTCTTAAAAATTATGAGCTTTCTAAAGTTAAATTAAAAGGGGAACTTACGATACTAATTTATCCGAAACATCTTTGGCAACATCTGCGAGCTCTTCAAACGCAGCTTGTGCCTGAAAAAAATTTCGTAACCGTTAACTATTTTAATAACACTGGTTCAAGAAGAGATCTTAGAGAAAAAGATATTGTAATTCTTAAATTTGAATAATAATCTTAATTCCCAAGATTAATAGTCATATTTCTTTGTTTCGCTTCTACATTGAACGATTATTTACATCTTTTCAAAATAATTATCGGTATCCGGTTTCAATTGTTTCGATAAAAAAAATTTAATTCTAGAGGAGAAATTTGAAAATAAAATTCAGAGAACTCGTTTTCATATTCAGTACCGAGTTCTTGGAGGTAAATTTTCACGATTCCAAAATATTTTTCAATTTCGTTCCCAATAAAGGGTTGATGCCAGCAGGAACATATGCTTTCATGAAATCTAACTTTAATTTACTTTAGTAATCAACTGTAACACTGTTCTATTTACACTAACTGATCGTTGAAATTTCATTAATGAATGTGCATACATCACACATGCAATTATTTAAATATTCGAATTTTTAAAATAATGATAATATTATATTATCATTATTTTATATTCACAAAGGAAGTAATATAATCCTAATTGAAAGTAGTTGAGATCCTAATCGAAAAAGTCATTGCTGCAGAGTGACTAAAGTGTCTATGGTTAAGTGGATAACCTATTTCGATAAAGCATTCTATTCTCTACTGTCTGCCTTATTTGGGATGCTTCGCTGTTTCATGCGAGACAGACTTTTCACGGAAAACTGACTTGTATGCGAATTTTGTAGAGGACAAGAATACTTATATAACCAACTTTATATACCATTTTAATAACCAACTTTCATAATGTCTAGATTCACATTCATTCTGTAATCAGAAGTCTTACATATAACCAGTCACTTTTCGCTCATAAGGGAAAGATCTAAATATTTCCCACAGCTTTAAAAGGACATCCGGTCAATTTTTATATTTGAATAAACTCGATGTGTCTAAAAATGTTGGAAATTATAGAACAATGGAATTTCTAATTAGGAATCTGATGCTCTTGGGCTTCGATCATGCCTTCACATACAAACGTAAGAAATCCAGCGATTTGTGTATAAAAAGGTGAATTATTGCTGATATTTTAATATTTACAAGCATTAATAATTGCACTAGTAAACATGGTAACTTATAAAAACTACTGCTTTGTAAACAGAACAGGCCCTTAAGCTCAGAAGGCATCGCAAGAAACTGCGTGCTATATACAGAGTGAGAAACAGCGTCAAAAAAGTTCAGATGTTATAGTCTTCGGAATTTTGTCAAGTTTCCGGTAAACCTAAGTATAATGAAATGTACTCGTATATCCAGGTGGCATAAGTTGCCTTTTTGCGTAATATTATGCGTAACATATTTTATGATACATAAATGGCTCTCTTTTTCCCCTTTGGGTAAATAATATATAGATTAGACTACTTGGGAAGATGAGAATGGTTATTCAAACAATATATTCGAAGACTCAAATTATAAACATGTAACCAGAAAGAGAGTAGGAAGAAAATCAAAGGTTGATTAAGCTCACTAACTGATACTAGAATGCATCAGCTATTTCCTAAATATTTAAATCATCTCACCCCAGCTCTGGAAATATAAAGATTTAGTGGAACATAAAATCTTAAATATTGCTTCAATTTTTTGTTCTCAAAAACTGAAAATTAATTACAGGATTTTATTATGAGAATCTTTACTTTTTTTTTTTTTTTTTCCCATAGAAAAAAATTTACCCTATTACTTGTTTCCAGCTCTTTAGCGCAGCACTCTTCAAAAACAAACATCAGTTCTGATAAAGCATTTTCTGCTATATTCATCTGATTCTCCCATTTCTGAAAAAGTAAAAATCCAAGTAGAACGTATTTACGCTGTGAAAATTAAGCAGACAATGAAAAGACTTCAGAAGGAAAACAGGCAGCAAAACGTTAAGTGATTACAAGACTGAAGGACATAAAAATGTAGTTACATTTTAGAAGCCAAGAAATCAGATTTACTGCTTTTCAAAGGATAGATTTTAAAATTCTTGACATTCTAATTTAATTACTTGATAATTATTTAATTTTACTAGTGTTTCCTGCCCGTTTTATTTAAATTTCTTTTGTTTCAATGATCAAAATTTTAAAGGCTTGTGGAACTTTAACGAAGTACAAACTCTTATCTTAACTTTAATTATAAAACAATCATGACTTGGGAATTAGAAATAATTCAATTGCATAAGAATTTTGGCTTAGAAATTAGAACTCTTATACCAAAAATCCTTTTGCTTATTAAGCACTTCAAAGTGCTCTTTCATAATTATTTATTTTTATCATTATTAGTACACAGTCAAACCTCTATTTAACGAACATTCTGTTTTACGAATTCCTCTATTAGCGAAGTTTCCTGCGGAATTCTGCTGGAGGTGTGAATTTTCTTGTCTAAAAACCCCCAGATAGCGAAATACACTCTCTATGTAACGAAGTTTTTGAATGTATGATTTTTCTCTATACTTTAAAATGATTTATTCATTTGCTGTGACATGTGCTTACAGCTATTGTCCTAAAAAAAACAGAGGGCTCGTTATCTGTTGTCACATTCTATTCTGCACGAAGGATGAAGTGGGGTGTAGGAGATTCTCAAATCAGAAAGCATTTACCCAACCTATTGCTAGAAATTCCTCAACCAGGTCTCTTTTGCAATCCAATTTGAGATTAAACAACAGATGCCTGTTATTTTTATTCCTGCTTTTTGTGGTTTCATGCTGCAAATCCTTTTTGAAGTTAGTTGTGTAGTGAATGATAGAAGATATTCAAACAAAACGCTTACAAAAAAAAAGTTCCGACTCTTGGAGAAGGAGAAAAAGGTGTAAAGGAGTTGGAAAATAGTAATTTCATGAAATGCTGACCGAGGTCTTCATGATAATGTCGTTCCCGGTAGCCAAAACAAATTGAAATAAATGATTATTTTTTAAAGAATCTATGCAATTTCTCAAATTTCTTTCTTTTAAAGAATCTATGCAACTCTGATGAAATGCCTACACTAGGCAAACGTAAATTTGCTTTTATATTTTATTTTATTATTACTCGTACATTTAAAATGAAAAACAATATCATCTTAAATCGTGTTTATCATATCCTCTATTTTACGAACTTCTCATTTAGCGAAACTTTTCGCGGGATTCTGAGACTTCGTTAAGTAGATATTTGACTGTGTCTACATAATTCCCTACCCCAACCTTTATTTTCGCAACTGTTGGTGGTAGACAAACTTCCATCTATAGAAATGCTTGCTCTAAAGGATGCAAATATTCATATTTTACCATTTTCAAGTTTAAAAACAACTAGTTTTAATACAATCTATGAAATTTACCTTTTTATACGGTCCTCTGGTTCCCAATTCATATTCGTTTTACCATTTCAAGCACGCTACTAGCTAACTACCACGAATTCCAAATGATACTATGAATGAAAAGAGAAAGCTTGAAATATGTGGATGCTCCAAGAAGGAAGGAGGGGAAATTAATTTCATTAAAAAACAGTATTTCCTGGAAGCCAGTGTAGTGAAAACCTGTTTGGACTGCCTTCATTTATTATCGCGTCTGCGGAGTGGATTGCTGCCGCCGATGTTATGACTGAATAACAGCTGCACTAGAATGCAAGGAAAGTCTCTGCTTTCCATCCTGGCGCCAATCAATAACAAAACAAAGCATATTCTTTCTAGTCAAAAAAATAAAAATTCTTTAGTAAAAGGAAAAAGGCGATTTGGGGGGTGCGAACATTGTGCGGTTCACTTTTTTTTACATAAATTTTATCTGTAAAGTTGGGGTACGGACATTACATGAACGTGTACGATAATCTTAAGTTGTCTTTTGTTGCCAGAAAATTCTTCTATTTCTTCTTTAAAAATTTAAACGATATGCTTTATAGTATTATTTTAGAATCAAATCCGCTTACATATACTTGATGCTTAAATAAATCTGTATAAAAATACTCTTTAATGTAATACTGAGCCTTGTAATGTGTACGGAATCGAATGCTCCATAATTATTTCCTTTCTGGTATTTTCTAGAATACGATTCATGTATTTTTGAAAGAGAAAATGCCTAACAAGTATAACAGTTCTGTTATGAAATTCCGTATAGTGTTAGATAAATTATATTCAAATAAACACATGTCTGACATTCTTCCTCAGACGCTATCGGTTTTCAACTAATGTAATTTTAAGTGCTAATGTTTTCGACTTTCGCTTCAGCTTTTTGAATCGATTAGTTTTACACAATGCAGCAAAAATTCATCCTAATAATATTAATTTGTTGGTAGAACTCTTCGTTGAATGTTACAGGTGTGTTATGTTCATGACCAACTCGGTATTCTTTTGTCATAATCTCAAGAGTTAACAACAATTAAGATCTAAGAATTTCGACTACACGGAATCATTAAAACTGTAGCTTACCTTTCAAACACTAAAGTAAACGTCCAAGACTAAGTTTATGAATTTCAGTCTTCACGGTTTTGAAAACGAAACTGCAGTTGGCAGACGTTATGCAATTTATGTATAACTCTACGTATTTTAGATTTTGTCATTTAGAAATGCTTATGGAGAATATCTAATAGTGATACTAGAGGTAAGAAATTTGCGTTAACTGAGAGAATACCTTTTTAATTTCGGTATCTTGAGTCACTGCCTCTAATATTATTCCCTCATATATTTCTAAGGATAGTTTCTGCTTTTCTATCATATGACAGAGAGTTTCAGAAAGAGAGCTTAAAGACAATTCTTGATCTTCACAAAAACGATTTACCATTTTTACACGGTCTTCCACCTAAAATGAAACCAAGGGTTATACAGTGATGAACATAAGTGAAGACAACTTTGCATTTTCTCGAAGAATGGGGAAAAAATTGTAAAATTCATTATTTTTATCAAAACACATATTTATATAATTTCTGAAAATTATAAAGGGAACTATAAAATATTAAATACAAATTCAAATTAATAAACACATACAAAAATAAGTCGAACTTTCAAACCCTTGAAAAAGGAGGGACAAGAGTCAAAGCGCAATGTTGATTTTTACGCAAATTAAGTTATATTGCGTCATTTTGTATGTACCAATTATAGTGCTGTAAGACAGGTAACAGTTTTATTTACTTGAAATAGTGCTGAAAATTTTACTATTTATGCTTTGTTCGTCGAAATTTTGAAGTGACTATTAAGCGTGAGGAAACTACTATTGAAGAGAAAAAAAATATGCGTTTATATAATTAGAATAAATCATTGAAATAAATTGGTGAAATAGTGAGCAGGAGTTGATACATAGCAAGAACTGTGATTAAAAAAAAATTGGAATCTTCTGGTTAGGGTAAATTCACAAAGGAGTCTCCGCCTAAAAAAGCTGACTCGTAGAGAGATGTTATCAATATTGCTACAGTGAACCCGAAAATTTCTTCAGTTGCTATCGTAGCAGCACTCGAGTCTTTAACAAAGTAATTCATCCCTAAACTGTCCAAAAATTCACTGGACTGGTTATATATACAGAGCTGCCAGAAAAAAAAGAAAGTAGTGGTTTCACAGGGAATGGACATGTTGCAGGTAAATTTTTATGATTTTCCCGTGGGTATAGCAAATACGAATTCAATTACCTTCCGTTTCTTTCAACTTTTTTCTTAACATCACCAAACTTCTGGAACTCATTATCTCAACAATAAAAATGCCGCAAATTTTTCACCTCCGTAAATTTACTTTGGACGCTTTGCAAGTTTTTTTTTTAAGTCTTATACTAACCCCAAAATTACCTCTTTCCCTTATGTGCTCTTTTTTAGTCTTATGCTATCCCAAAATTTACCGCTTTTCCTTACAATTATGTGATATACGATTTTTTTTTCGTTCCAGATTCATTCTTTGGCGTAAACTCTGAATTCTTTTACTGATGTGTTACCCAATTCCCTTTCAAACTTATGAAGCGAGGATATTTTTCTATTACTTCTTCAAACGTAATTTCCCTTAAATTTTCATATTCTTTTAAATCTCAGAAATCAGATCTTTGAATTAAATACTATATACTTATGTAAAGTGCTAATTTCAAATAGCTGGTCTAACGTTATCTTGAAGAAATAGCCTGACCAACTGTATGTTGTTATGTCTCCAAATAAAAATTAAATTAGAATTTTAATTCCAAGCTCTATGTCTCCTTAAATTCGGAAATCAGCTTGACTGCATGATAAAATAAAGTTACCTGCAGTTGGAATGAAAGAAATCTAACAAAATAGTGACAGCAGTTTGCATTTAATGAAAAATTTATACAAGTAAGGTAATTTATATATGTAAGGTAACTCCAACAAAACTTAAACAATATGATTATAATTAATTTGAAATGACAGATCGCAATGTTTAGAATCGAAACGCGAAACTTGGTGAAAACATTTTCTTGACCCAAGACTATGGAAAGAAAGCGCAGCATTTGGCAATTTGCCTTTGATAATTAAAACGTTTTGTTTCTTTAGTTTGCTTCATATACACGAATTTAGCTGTTAACTCAAAAGCTTTCTTTTTGAAGGCGTAGAATCCACTGTATTTTTTCCCCGAAAACCGTTTAAAATTAACGTGCGCGCAGATTGCATTTTTACTGAAAAACTGAGGATGCGTTTTAGACAACTTTGAAGTTATTGGAAATAAAACGATACAAAAAATAGCTACAAAAATTTTTTTCTCATTCAGAAATACATAACGCTAAAAATATTTAGTGTTAAATCAGTATTAATGGGGAACCGAAAACATATAAATCTAACAATACTTGTCAAAGCAATACGGTTTTGGAGATTTCATGAATTTGGAGATTTTCCGCCAGCCCATTAGTCAGGTTCGTAATCAAGACCGAAGTACCAGTGTTTTGGGGTCTTATCCAGTCAGTAATTTTCAAGCCTAAGCAAAGATGATGGTAACGATGTTTCTCAGTCTGAAAACTCTGCATATTTTGCTGTTTTTAGCAAGATTTATCTTCCTATTTTCATATGCAGCAACATCTACGACTGACGGAAAACAACTATGTGAATATGATTAACTTTACAGTCCTCCACAAATGTGATAAATTAGCATTTAGTTTTCATTACGTTTGGCAATTGTTTATCCAAAAGGAAAAGATGTCCTTGTGATAAAGGGACGGTTATCTGAGGATAAATTAGTATTTAGTTCTAATTAAAAGCGAAACATCTCAGCATAAATTTAAAATTAGAAAAAAAAATTAGATTGGCGTACATTTTGAATCAACTTCGAGATATATAACTTTACTCAAAATTTACATCAGTCTAAAGTTTCTTGTCTTTTTAGTTACAGAACATTTATTTTCCTATTTTACAACGATTTATGTTAATGTTGCGCTTTCGATACACTTAATAAATTATTAAAAATAGTAATAAGGTGATTCAGCATAACTTGTTCAAACATTGCGTGTTGCAAACATCCGAAATATTCCTTAGACAAGTTTAATTTTGTAACTACAAATGTGCTGCCATGCTTGAAAAGTGTTTTAAATCATGATTTTAGAAAAAGAAACATTTTAAAAATTCATAATATATATTAAATTTAGCTTGAAATGTTTTTCAATTGCAACCCAAAACATATATGAGATCTAATCAATTAATTTATAATTTAATTTATTATGTAAAGTTCCAGTCAAATATACAAGGAGGTATGGCAGTAGAGCTCGGTGAATATGTTCATTAACAAAAGATTATTTCGTAAATCAAAGGAAAAAAAGCTTTCAAATTTCTTCAGTTCATCGTTTGCAATGAATTTTTACGACCGTAAAACTTCCTGAAAACTGTGGACAAACTCCTTTTTCGGTATCGCCGAAAAAGTCAAATGATACTGAATGTATACCAAAAACTGTTCCCTTACCAGGACTCGGTTTTAAGTTCGAGAACGGAAAGTGATCTGCTGTAGCCAGAACAGGTGAGTATAGGAGACTATTGAGTGCTACAATTCCTCTATAGACGATAAACTGTTTTACTAAGACAGCCGAATGTGGCCAGGTATCATGGAGAAGAAACCTAAACCCCTTCTAGGCTGGACGTACGCAATGTATTTTTATCATAAATTTAGTCTGAATAGTCTTGTACGTGCTGATACTCCTTGTTCTTATTTTTGGTTAACACTATTTTCACTTTTCGCTGTTTTCGGTTACCCTGAGATGTCGCAGGCCTACCATGTCAAGCAGCGTCTTCAGTAAAATCCCAAAACATTTAAACCATTCATAAACACATATAAAATATAAGATTTTATCTCCATAAACTTATTTCAGCGTGTACTGACTGTTTGGCAGAATTAACAAACTTGAAAATGAACTTTAAATTGGTTCGATGCTCACTTTCACAGCCACAGTTTCACCTTTTCAGAGTACAATTGCTGTGAACAGGAATGGATAATGCCTACTCCTACGTTGCTCTCAGACACTTTAATAAAACACTTTCTGAAGTATCTTTTCGGAGCTCCGTCGTTCACCCGTTAACGCCGAAAGCACCCTATGACATTATTCAGCGAACTTTATTGTCATACCATGTAGTATTAGGCACTTTTTTATCTTATTAAATACTATAAACGTGCAGCATCACCAGGGAATGTTTTTTAATTAAAACTAGGGAAAATCGAAGTAATTTATTTTCCATCATCCTTTAGTTTATGTTTTGGGTTCATACGGTTTGAATTTATCACTTAAATTCCGAAATTGTGACAAGGATTTTTGACTTTTTCCCTACAACATTTTTAACTAAACTCATTTCTTATGTAGCATGAGAACGATTAAGCTATGTTCACTTAATGGCGATTTTTTTCTTGCTCATTTACATGACTGTCAATTCAAATACATGATTTAGCTTTGCTATACTCTTAAATGCTAACGCACTTTATTTTCTAACAAGGATATTGTAGCTGACTGATGAAAAATATTCAGGGAATTTTTATTGTTCTTCATTTTGATTAGAAAATGCACACAAATCATACGCTAATATTTTGAATCGGAAAAACAGGAGAAAGTATGCATTCTTAACCTGGAAGAAACTTAAAATCCAGTAACTAAATTGACCACTTTAGAACCTTACTCATATTAAAGGCAAAGAAATGAATTTAAATTAATAAAAGAATAGAATTAATTGATACAACTTTATAGAATACTTTTAAATATAATATATGAGATTTTAGGAAATACGGCACAATTGTATGCATCTTTGGAACGAAATTTGGACATAAAAAGTATTGAATTATACTCGGTTAAATTAAATGATTCATCCAAGGAAATATATGGAAATGTTTCTTTGAAAACAAATGCAAACCAAGATTCGGAAGCATTCACTGCTCAATTAAATTGTAAATGTATAAAAATTCTGGAGAAATTAAACATAGACAATAATTCGGGGAATTCTGAGATTATTTAGATTGAAACTAACGTTACTTAGGATCTGCAATTGAGCGTTTTACAGTGAATTCCCAATATAGAAAAGCTGGGCGCATGTGAAAGTTCGAAACCTTACATTCTAGTTTACGTATTTCTACATCTGTCACTTTCTTTCAGCCCATGTGTATTTTCTGAACATCAAAATTTCGAGAAAAACGTTTCCGACTTAAAAATGAAGCTTAGATCTTAAGTCAGACACTGTAGGATCGGTACCAGAATGACTTAGTTTCGTTTTCGTGAGATTTTAGGAAATGTAAGCATAGCATGAGAATATGATCGGAAAGTTTTGTCATCCATGAGAAATCAGCCATCGATCATCAAATGGCTACATAAGACGCATGCTTACCAAATGATGCTAATAGAGTCTCAGGTATTTCCTCTTCTCTTTCTCTCTTCTGTTTGCAAATAATTTGTGAACGAAGTTTAGAAACCAATTTTCACATATACAATCACCAATACTGGGGTTTATAGCTTATTTTTCATTTTATGGATGATTCATCTATAGGTACTTTGCTCATTGATTTCAGACAAAATTAAAGGCGATCATAGAAGCAGTATTTTAGATCGTATTTTTGGCTCATTCTATTTACATCTTTTCAAAAGAAAGTTCTTGGTATTCTTCCAAATATGAAACAGTAATACATCACAACAGATCTATATGAATGCATTTAAAAATTCTATAGCCTTAATCAACGACAAAATTACTGAAAAATACCTTGCTTCATTCCTGAATGGAACAGAGCCCATAATTAATTGGATTAAAAACATGAATAATTTCATATTTAAATATGATAAATATATTTGTTTATACTTCAGCAATGAAGTTTTTATAAATATTTCAATTAAATTACCCCTACAACCACTATGTCTTAAGGTATAAAACATTTCTGTAGATTATAACAAAAGCTAATTGATCTAAATGACCAGTTTTAAAAGTTTGCATGGAAACAAAGAATGCAGTACAACATTTTCATTAAATCCTTAACATTATTTGCAAATATAACAGAACATATTAATTAATATCTGTAAAATAAGTTGTAGTACGAGTCTTAAAAATTTAATTTTGCATGCAATCACTGTAGAGAGAAAACGCGGAAATATTGCCACGAAGACAAATTACTTCTGATGCGTGAAGAAAGATTCTCCTAATAATAGTAATCAACACAGCCAACGAATGAAATATTCTTTTCGTTTTTTAAAATACTTTTTATAAAACTTTTCATCAATAATCAGTAAAGTATAAAAATTAGAACATCCAAGTGTCTAATCTACATGCGAGATTTATACAGTTAGTTTGTACAATTTGTTATCATTAAAAATGGGACTAGAGTACATGTTTTTTATATTTCCCTAAATTATATAAAAACATAACAGAAGAGAAAGTAAGGTTTGAAAAACTGCGCTACTGCATAAAATTGAATATGAATACTAGATAGTACAGTTTTGTACACAGACTGTTGAATTATCTGAAGTCAATGAAACGAACAAGCTATTTTATACATTGTAAACAAGACTTTCGTGTAAAATTTATTATAAACACATAAGACTTGCATGTTACCTTCAACGTAAGTTCACTCCAGCACTCTTTTATTGATGCAGATATAGTCTGTATTTGCTTTTCGCAGGCAGTCAATATTTGATTTATAGGTTCAAAGTTGCAAATACTCTGCAAAAGAATAATTGATTAACAAACAGACTGAGGGCGTATTAACTGAATCCATCACTAAGTAAAAATTTCTTCATTGAAAATACATTTGCCTCAGTAAACTGCAGGATAGTTTCTGATTATTCTCATCCCTCGGAAAATAACGGATTGGCGAATTGGTGATTTAGAGAACAATGTATGTTTGGCTATCATTATGGCTCTTAGTCACTGCTCTACTTATATAACAAAAAGCATTTAATAAGAAAGAAGAAATTTTATGGAGGAAGAAAAATCCGCATGGCTGATATTTGCATTTTTACACTGTGGCTACTGCTCAGGGATATCATGTTTTTAAGTATAAAGCTCCTAAATCCACATGTACTGAAATATTAAGTGTGGTAAACACACGCGTTGGTCAGAAATTGTCGCATGCTACTCGAAAATACGCCCAACACATGGCAGGTACACTAAATGGGGAAATCTGAAAATGTGGATAATCATAAAGTACCAAATGCAGTAATAAAATGAAACTATGATATTCAGATATTGTATATTTCCTTAAGTTACCGTCTTACTGACTGTAACACTAAGGTAAATGTTTAAATTTACATAATTGTTTCAAAGAAAACGTATTTATATTAATACGTAATTAAAATTTGTCTTGTATGCAGATCATCTCCATAATGGCCAATAATTGCATTTTCCCATTCCAATAACATATTTTAAGCCACTTGTATTTAGAAACAGAGCATTAGAAAACACAGCATATTACACTTTCTATGATATAGCAGTTAGTTTATGGAGCTAGATCCAAATGAAGATTTAGTTTTATCCAGAGATATTTAAAAAATGAATATCTATAACGCAGGAGTACAATATCATTTCAATTGAGACACTTCAGTGCAGTAATTTTTAGGTATATCATTTATTAGAATTACATCTCTAAATTTTAGACTAAAATATTTTCAGAATGGGGTTAAGAATGAGTGAACTTCCGCTATAAGCTCTTAGAACTTATTAAAATGCTGCTTCTAAAATTAGAGATCCCCTGAAATTTCCTGATAACAGTTAGGTTTAAGACGATATTTTATAGTAACAAATAATTGCATATTGTAAAAATATCTTAATGGCATTCTCTAATTTTTTCACGAATTTAGTCTCCATGTCGTCATAATTACTTTACTTTTCAAAAATGTTTCTCAAATTTTAAACTTATACGCAGAGAGAAATTTTTGATGCCCTTACGTAAATGAGAAGTGCGAGAAATAAACACCCCGAACAAATAACTATCCGATTTTATTCAACTTAACACTCAGCTACACCCGAGTTTTCCTGATCAAAGCTCGCATCTTACATGTTGTCAATATGGGCCGGACGATATTTACAATGATTTTCTCCCGCTCATCCATTAATACAGCAGTCAAATCTGCTACAGAATTCTGCTCTTCTCGACAGAAAATCTCAAAGTATCTGAATTTTCTCATCGACATTAAAGCAGGTGACTGGTTGACCAAATGAGATGCGAGCATCACTTTCATGTTCCACTAACCAGTCCTGAACTCATCAGGCGCTATGATCGGTACAATTGGTCTTGGTAGACAGGTTTGGTGATAAGTCCTTCTCCTCCTAAAGTCACATAAGAATGGGATGGAGATAGAGTTCCCAGCCTTCATCCGAGTGTTGACTTGCACCAGTAGTCCAACGACAGTCGCCAAAATAATTCCCGAAATATCATACATCCAGTCCCGAGCTGCACTGATCTTTGGGCGTAGTCGAAACTATAGGCCTCTCAGGGCTTTTTTGTGCATATCCCGCAACGTGCATCATTGGTGTTGGTGTATTGAGAATACGGCAAAGCACACTAGGGCTATCTGCCTAAGGGGAGGGATGCCTTCGTGGAGGACTTTCTAAAACGTGCATCATTGGAATACAAACAAAAGTAAGATTCATCTGCCCATACAATTTGTCGCCAGTCATTCACAGTTCATTATTGACGTTCTTTAGTCCACTGAAATCTCTTCAGCTTTTTAGGCTTCTGCGGTTCCAGAAAGTCGCCGGGGGTACACGGCTGAATAATTCCATGCGACGCCTCGCATGACGACTGTCATCTTGCATATTATAGCCTTTCGGCCAGCATTGCATCTCTGGATTAGTTTGTTACGAACAAACACCTTTTCTTATGCAATTTACTTACAAGGGACACTGTCACACTCAAGATGCAATTCTGTGCAACATGTTCCCGGGCAAATACTATGGCTCCTTTTTGCGAGTCTGATCTCTCATATGCTGGAACGAATAATGCATTGATATCAATGTTTCTCTACATATTAGATTCCTCTACAGCTTTCATCATCTTCTTATTCCCATACGGCCCACCACCGACCGACCGGTAAAGTAGCTGAACACTAGTAATCCCGATATGAATTAAATTACAGGCAAACGGGTTGGCTGCATTGGCATTTTCGTGTTTTACCGCGTATGTAACGTGCATACAAGCCAGTTTCCCTTGGAAAGTCCTCCACGAAGGCAGCCCTCCTCTTAGACAGATAACCCTAATGTGCTTTGCCATAATAATATGAAACAAACCTGTTTAACATGCGTCAGGTATGTAGCCGAAGGCTGCTTTTAAAATGTAGGCTCATGCTAAATTTTCCTAACGTTTTATTCTAGGTGTTTATCGCCTAAATAACCTGCGAAAAGCTCTGCGGCTTGCCGTTTAGATTACGCAGTTCTTACTACCCGCAAGCACAAAGATTTGACCTATTAAATGGAGTGTGCGCACTCTCTAGAATTTTATGTAAAATCTATTTGTGAGGTTTTCATTTTGTACAATGTAAATGCTTTAACCTCTCTCATTCTTTAACTTCAACACGATATAAAATAATCAGTTTTTAATTAATTTGTAATAACGCTTGCCTTAGTAAAAGGTTGTAACAGATTTAAACTTATTGATATGATACAATGAAACAATAGCGTCAAGAGTTCTCTTTAGCCTGCAATTTTGATTCCTTATACTTGGGGACAGATGTTCACGAATGATCATTAAAAGGAAAAGCTGTGAAAATTCACATTTTCTTCGTTTACATTTTCAACAATGCTTCTAACAATGTTTAGCGGTTTTAAATATAAAATAAAGATGATTGAAATTTAACCGCCAAAATTTAATAAAATACAGAATTCTAAAATATGATATAGATGTGCGATGGAAATAATTCTTAGTTTCAGCATAATTTTTTTTACAGTAATTAGTCTACTTAACACAACTATACCTACTCCTCCAACTATATAGGCCCATCAGCGGCCGAGCAGTAAAGTCGCTGAACACTGATAGTTCGCTCCAATGTTCGAATCCCGCGAACGGGCTGGCTTAATGGGGGTTTTCGTGTTTTATCCTGTGTATACGAGCCAGTTTCATTTAGCAAGTTCTCTACGATGGCTGGTTTCGTTTGGTTTATTGAAATTACCGTAAAGTACACTACGGTTGTCTGCCTAAGGTAGGGATGCCTTCGTAAAGGGCTTTCTAAGGGAAACTGGGCTCGTATACACGTTATACATGGAGAAAACTACGAAAACGCTCATGTAGCCAACCCGTTCGCTTAGATTCCCAGGTTGGAACCAGTGTTCAGCGACTTTACAGCTAGGCCTCTAGTGGGCCCTTCACGAAGGCATCTCTCTACCTCTCTCCTTAGCCAGATAATCCTCGTATGCTCTACCATAATCAAGTAAACCCAAGCCTTCAACTATATAATGTCTATATAAAGAACCATAATAATTTTCAGTTGATATTTTGCTTAGTTTGTTATATAGAAGAAACAAAGGATCTGCCGCTTTCGAAAGGAGTTTGGCTAAGGAAAAATTTGAATAAATGTTTCTCAGCCGACCATTCTAAGAAACTGAGCAGGGAAAGAAATTACTAAGGCCTCTTTAAGCTGGTCATTTACAAACAAACTCTCTTCGCCTTGTTGAAGGATACCGGTTTGCACACCGCATTAAAGCAAATAGTTTGCCAGTTTAATGCACCAATTAAAAGACGTACAATAGTTGTTAGTAAAGACTATTTGTCTTGCATCATACAAATGTCGCATGAAACCATATTTTTACAACATATGTTCCAAGTGGCAGCTTTCTTCAATAATGAACGCGCGCGCTCATTTTATCACGTTTGAAGCCAATTTGTGGAACACCTGTACACTGACGTTGTTAATTGCCGTCGTAATGTTCCTCTTTAAAACCTTCAAGTGTAAGGCAAGTATTTGTATAGACCTGTTAAGGTACTCCTTCAAAGAAAAGATTCTACGGGAGATTAATCGATGAACGCGAGGGTCATAATCCTTCAGAAATGATGCATTTGCCTAAAACCCTGCACAAGAAAGGCAAAGTTTTATTAGATATGTAACAAGTGGCAACGTCTTGCTGGAACCGCACGGAATGGTCGGCTTCATGAAGTGCAATAAACTGTATAATATCTTAGTACACTGCACTATTCACTTTAGTTTCAAACAGTATTCAACGCTGAAAATAGGTTACTTTTGAGTTTGGGTTGGGATAATTTATGTTTTTAGAGTTATTTACGGCGTGGAATGCCTTCGTGGAGGATATTTTTTAAAGGTATCTGGCTCGTATTCATATTACATACTGAAAACCACGAAAACTCCGACTTGGGCGTCCCCGTTGGACGATATTTTAACCCGGATCGAGCGAACCATCAATATTCAGCGAGATCTTACATCTCGGGTGCTAATAGGCCCGCACATTTGTTCAGGATAAATTTGCATGTCTGGCTACCAGAAACAAAGCTCTAATGCAGACATCATATGAATATTAAAAAATGGCGTGTATAGACATTAGTATTTCTGTATTTACAATGAGTACAATGCCATCTAACGACATAATTATGAAGGTATTCAGTTTATCATAAGACGATGACGGCAGAAAGTTCTTCGAATTCCTTTTATCATAAGACTTATTTGAGTATGATAAGACTTATTTGAGTTTATGATAAGACTCAACTTTCCGATCTCTCTGCTTTTGTTTACGGCACTAATATAAATGTCAATTACTAAAACTCTTAATAAAATCATTAGGTAATTGTTAAAATGTACTACACAAAATTTGAAAGATTCAGATACTTTAAGCACTTAAGTGTATACATTATTACATCTGAATATACAGCTTTCGTAATTTTGGTCACTTTAGAGTATATTAAATATGCTTACAATCACTTCAGAATAAGCTTTTTTAAAATCCGATAGAGCTGATTCTTTCTTCAACTTTTCTTCATTAAAAATTGAAATTAATTCTGCATGAAATGTTTCTCTAGCTTTCTGAAGATTTGCAATGACGGCAGAAAGTTCTTCGAATTCCTTATCGCATGTGCAGGAAACACAGTCTGTAACACAGATTAAAAATTTATAAGAAAAATTTCGTAGATTTTACATTTACTTTTTACAAGGAAGATATATAAATTACAGTTCAGAAGTAAATCATCACAGTAGTTTTAAAGAATCAAGTAAAGTTGTTTCAATTTCGAACATCTATAAAAGCACCCGTACATCATAAAAACATTTTTATTTTGTCGAATATATATTAATGTTAGTTTGATTACTTCTTCACCTAGACTTTGCCCACGATATTTCTGGCAGCTTAGAATTTGAATGTCGTACCGATGATTTTAAGTTCGGTTGGAGCGCGGTAGATTATGTGCTGTTTGATGAAATGGGAACGACAGCTGTTCCACAGAAAAGGAATGCAAATATAAAATATGAAAGTTTACAGATTTGGATGAAGCTCTTGGATGTCAAAAGATTTATAAAGCTTAAGAAGAAATTAACTGGAGATACGTATCTTTTGCTACATATTTGAAGACAACTTAAGAAAGACATTAAGTAAGAACAGAAAGAATAAAATCTAATGCCTCTATAACTAGGAAAAAGCTGTACGAATATTCCTAGTTCATGCACTGTTATCGCCATCTTTCCCCTGATGATTTGTATTGTAATCATTATCGTTCTATCCGTAACTCAAACTAATGTTTAAAACTGATGAAATATTAGTGGTATTACTTACGTCATCAACTGAATAGTTAATACTAATTGCATTATTTAGCTACTTCCTCACCCCCAATCCCTACATTTGAAATGGCAGAGGTTTTGCGACAGTCTTTCCTGGAACTGGACTCTTGAGGTTTCTGTTGGACAAATTCGTTCCAGAACAACCCTCTGTATACCCGCAGAGATCATCAGTTGATTGTCTGATATACAGCTAGACACATACGAAGTGACTGAAAATCATCGCTAGATGCGCAGATGGTGTAGTTCTCGTGCTTTCCGCATTTATTTACCGGATTGAATAGATGTTACAATGTCCAAACAATGGGGCATTTAAGTCACCTGCAGTATCTGGGAAATTCCCTCATTACATTAACTGCAAGAGCTAAGAGGAAAAAAGACACAGCATCTGAATTCATACGCACTACAACTACCAGAAAAAGGCTGGGCATTCAACTGAAAGCTTCACATCAGCAGAGAATCAGAACAATTTTCAGGTTAATGAGAACGATCTTCACACTCAAAGTACTACAAAATAACCTGTAGCATTGTCAAACAGCGACTAATTGCGTAAGGCATATCATCCTGGAGGACGAATATAGTATTGCACTTCTGCAGCAAGTACTAAACGTCTTATCTCCAAATCCCTGTACTGAACTGGGGAAAATCTATCAAGTTTAAAGTAAACTACAGGTCAATGTACGTAATGGTCCGTTAACACTGCTGCAACAAAGGAGAGATTACTCTTATCATGAAGTTTAAAGGGGTAAACCGCTTATCTTCTACAGCAGGGGTTCTCAATCCTACGCCCGCGAGCACCATGGCGCCCACCGATCGTTTAACGTGTACCCGCCGCTGCGCGATCACAATAAAAATGTTTTAGTTTTCAATAAATTCTATATGAAAGTTCTCATTTTTAATGAAATAGAAATTGCTTAGAACACATACCAGCACTAAGTGAAATGCGACCCTTTTTTTTTTTTTTTTTTTTTTTTTATGTGCATGTATTATCACCTCTATCCAACTATATTCACTTTGAAAAAGTAAATGGTGCCCGCCGTCCAACAGATATTCTATAATGTGTACTTAGGAACCCTGTTCCCCCTGTTCTTTGGGACCCCTCTTCCAGAACGTTTACATTCCCCCCTCTCATTATAGTGCTGACAGTTCAAGGACAAGTGCTGGCAGTTCAAGCGAGGAGTAAAATTATAGCAAGGACTCAAAAGTCTCCCTGCGGAACGCTCCTGTTGAAAATAGACGTACGACTCCGCGCTTAAACTCCACTTCCCTCCATAACACTATTCAACCTTATTATTATTGTTATAATACTCCTACATTTTGGGATGCCGGATGGGAAGAGTGGGCAAACATAACCCTCGCAACGGATATCTTTCCACATGTACATGAAGTAAGCTATCGCCATTCGCTCAATTATCACCAAGATATATAATTCTAAATATCATTTAGCATCATGTTACATAAAATTCCTGAACATGAAACATTTCAGCAGTGCATTTGTACCTTATACACAAAATTTAGTGACTCAATTTAACAATGGTAAAAGTGGGAATGACCTTGATGAGATACACGGTAACTTTACGGGCAATTTACATTGGGTCTGAGTGCAAGTACTTAAGTTACTCAAAATCGTGGTTCTTAATAAAACACCTTAGGAACGCTCAGCTAGTTGCTGAGAGCAGTAAAATGCGCTCACCAAGGAGGTTAAGTAAACATAACACAGAAAAAAGGTACTTCGCGGCAGTTTGGAAAACACTGCAAGCAATCGTTTCTTATTTAAACCACAACGAACGAAGGTGCTCAAGTCCAAAGTATTAAAATAGAATGTCCACAAGGATTCGACCTTGGCGCCTTGCTAGGGAACATGTCCCTCGCCCTGTTTGAAAAGCAAGAAAACGCAGAAACTCTAGAATATGCGGACGATTTCTTAAACTAAAGGGCACTCTCAGAATGCCTACGAAACCGGAGCACAAAATGCACTGCACGATATCGTTAATTGGGCAAGTAAGAATAAGCTGGTCACTTTTTCGGCCAAAGCTAAAGGATGTTTATTTACTATGGTAAGAAATACAGAATAAAGCAATGCTTGGATATCTGCGACTGCGTCGCTTCATAGGACAGGGAAAGGAAATTTCATTAGTGGGAGGAGCCAAACGATTTTGTAAGAGAAAGATTGTCATGGAAAGAATGTCTTATAAGGTCCATAAAGAATGTAACATGATGTGATGAGTTAAAATATTAATGAAACGTAAAGATATTAGAAATTTGAAAGCATTTGAAAGAGCGAGATTGGAAACTTAATATCAAGGAACAAGTATACAAGGGAAATTATTAATCATGTGAAAGTGTTCAAAAGAACTCAGTTGATTAAATGAAGGATTACAGATAATGTTTGAAGATCCCATATTAAAATGTAATTAAGTGACCGTCGTACTTAGCTAAAAAAATTCTTTTTTCCTTTCGAAATTTAATTCATATTCCCTGACGAGAAATTTCAGAGCTTTTTCAATTTGGCTAATATACACCAAACAGCACGATACATGTCAAACAATGCTAAATAAATAGCACATATGAGATCTTTAAGAATCGAAAACTGAATTTTTCTGATAGTGAAAAAAATAACTTAAATATTGAACTTATGGAGAAGTCGAGAAATTTTGTAATCCATAGTAAGTCTGAATAATTATTGGGTAAGTGTCAGCTAAACTTCACTGTCGGCTTAGTGTTGACTAAATTTCTTGACAGTTAAGTGCTCCGTAGCTAAATGTCCTGACGGCTAACTCTCCGTGTCGACTAAATATTCTGTCGGCTAACTGTCCGTGTCGGCTAAATGACCTTTCGGCTAAGCGTCCTTGTCGGCTAACTGTCCGTGTCGGCTAAATGACCTATCGGTTAAGTGTCCGTGTCGGCTAAGTGTCCGTGTCGGCTAAGTGTCCGTGTCGGCTAAGTGTCCGTGTCGGCTAAGTGTCCGTGTCGGTTAAACATCCTGTCGGCTAAATGACCTGTCTGTTAAGTGTCCATGTCGGCTAAATGTCCTGTCGGCTAAGTGTCCGTGTCGGTTAAACGTCTTGTCGGCTAAGTGTCCGTGTCGGCTAAATGTCCTGTCTGTTAAGTGTCCATGTCGGTTAAGTGTCCATGTCGGCTAAGTGTCCATGTCGGCTAAGTGTCCTTGTCGGCTAAATGTCTTGTCGGCTAACTGGTGTCGGTTAAGTGTCCCGTCGGCTAAGTGTCCGTGACTGATTTTGCACAACATTATCCAGCATCTGTTGGGGGTAATTTATCCCGTTCCTATGTCAGTGTACGAATGAGGGTGTCTTTGTTTATTGGAGGGCATTGTCGAGCAGCAAAACTCCTCCCCCAAAGCATCCCAAACATTTTCTGTGGGATTTAAATCTGAAGAACGTGCTGGCCAAACAAGGCGTTGAATATCCTCGCTCTCTAAACACTTCTCAACAGAGACCTTTCGATGCCATGTTGCGTTGTCGTCTATAAAAAAAAATCTCACCGATAACACCACAGAACATGCTAACATGAAGCGGCAGGGCATCATTAATGTATCCTTGGCTAGTCATGGTCCCATAGAGCGACGTACCGTTGATCCCAGTTCGAACCCATACCATGACACTAAATGTATTATATCGGACCCTTTCCTGTATGTTTGCCGGACTATATGCATAGCACTCTCACGCCAGATGAACTGGCGGATAGAATGCCACGACATGTTGAATCTACTCTCATTTGAGAATAGTACACAAGCCCAGTAGTATTCTGACTAAATTTTCGGGAAAATTTCCTTGCCAGTAGGAACAAGTAGCTGATTTCCTACCTCCGCAGCTTTTCGTCGGTTCCTTTTGTCAATAGCACCATGTACCTATCTTCTGCAGGGCATCGTACTGCGAACACGACCTCCCCCGTGTCAAACACATTCCGTTTATTTGAAATGATTTCGTCTTACCCTCTAGCAACAACTGTTACTGTTCGCTCTCCTTCAATCTTGCCAATAATACGGTTATGCGTAAAATCTCATTGGCGTCGGAAAGACATATGGAAAATTGCAAGTTTGTCAATTGATTCTGTCCCGTGAAATTTTGCTTTTGAACAAAACAGTCAATATTCGTCAAATCCTTTACATCTCTTATCAGTGCTATCGCGTGACGAACAACTTGGGCAATCCAAAATTTGCATATGCACAACACGTATTATTGTATCCCGCTTTGATACTAATTTCCATATTTTCTTACCTTCCATTTTGTAGTTGCTATCGCTGCTAGTGTCTTCAGTCCTTAACAATTGTTCGCCAGTGTACAATCCGCTTACATTTTTTGCATAAATCCAGTAATAATGAATTACAAATGCTACTTATAAATATCTCTTATTTATTTAAAAATCCTATATTATATACATCTTTTTTATAGCACTTGGGTCTTTTAGTATTTATGCATCTACTATATTTAAATGGTATTTCTATAGCATCAATTACGCCGTTATGTAAATAGTATTGTTAAGTGTGGTACCTGCATGTGCTTTTGAATATAGTTATCACTGGTATGGAATAGGTGATGGGTAACTTTATTGCATATTAACAGAACTGTCCTGACTGCAGAGGAAATGCGTACAGTATTGATAATGCAAATTAACAGGTGCTAATGGTTGTAATGCTGCTTATATTAAGGGTATTTATGCAGTTAAAATCTTTATTGAATGTATTTAAATGCCCATTGATGTTTTGACTTTTCTCGCTCCGACACTGAAAGACATGTACTCAAGCCGTTGTGGAATACATAAATTTGCCAGGAGGGCTTAAATCACTGATAAGCTTGCTAACTGATAAGCTTAGTGCATCAGCTGCCTTGCCATCGGCGGAAAGCACAAAGATACTACATTACTTACGTACAAGGAGATTTAAAAGGAAAATCGAAATTTGGTTACAAATCATTTACTAGAACTACTGAAGTGGTTACACTGTCGCTGCTTAGTGTAATCTACTTACTTATTGAATGCATTTACGGCAGCACTTGATAAGCGTGAAAAGGATTATTTCGGATGACGGCGCAATCATTCATACATCTAAGACCAAACCATGTACTCAACCACAGCTTTTTAAAGGCCGACTTGTTGGCCTAGCAATACGTAGCGTGGAACTTTCATGGAAGAGACACACTCACGTCCTCAGAAACTTCGACTTGAAATAAATAAACAAAACCTATTCAGAAATAGAGGAACACTTAAAATATAATTCTTCAGCGGTGTAACTACTCTGAAACTGTTGTCCATAAGGATTCCCATACAACCGTGGTGGCCAAGAATTTAAATTCTCAAAACAAACGTTATTTGAATATTTGTACTTAAACGTGATTATTCCACTGTTCAATTTCGAGTGGTAGATTTAAATAGAAAATTCATCAGTTTACCAAGTCCGGCTTGAAGTGAAGCTATCCAATTCTGGCATTCATTTGTCAAGGAAATCACATTACTGTGTGCTGCATCCACACGCTTTAGGAAATTATCTGTAAAGTTCCGAAGACCACGAGTAGTATTGTTCTGAATACGACGAATGTTCTGTAACTTGTCAATTAGTTGCTTATGTTCATTCATTGCTTCAGACTCCTTTTCCTTGACCTGCATCGAAAATAACTTATTTAAATAAACCATATGCTATATAAATGAAATATAGTAATGTTTCCAAAATGTTTTTAAGAACCATGTTTTCCAAACAGGTTTCGAATTAAAAGAGATAGGCAATTTATTATATATTTTAATTCATTCGTATTGATAACCTAATAAATTAGATTTCGACATGTATTCCAGACTGTTTCCTTCGTAAACAAAATAACCATCTATATCATTTACTAGTTTTATATACTCTAACTCAATTTAAAAAATAGATTTGTTTTAATAGGGCATTATAAACAGTTAATCCGTAAGATCACTAATGCTTGAATAAAGTTAATTGCATAAACTATAAAATTTGCATTTAAGAATATTAAACTTTATATTTAGAGATCTTTTGATGGAAAGCTTTTATTTGGTTTAACTATGACAATGCACGTGAAGACTACCTATATGAGAGTAGAGGTGCCTTTGTTGGAAACTTTTCAAGGAACTGTGGCTTACATTAACTAGGCAGCGGTTGCGAGATAAAGAAATTTTTTCGTACCAAATATGCGCGATATCTGTCAATTGTAAATTTGCAGTGCGAACTGTATTCGTTTATTCCCACTGCGTTGCTTAACTGAAACGCTAGCTGAGCTCGTTGATGACTATCAAAGATTAACTTCATACATAAGACAGACCGCAAAATCGGCCAAGAAGTCACCACGTGCAAAGAGTATGTATGTGATTATGGCAAAGCCTCAAGGGCTATCTGCCTAAAGGGAGCCTTCGAGGAGGACTTTCTAAGGGAAATTGGCTCGTAAACACTTTAAACATGGGGAAAACCACGAAAACGCCCATGAAGCCAGCCTGTTTGCGGGATTCGAACCTCGGACCGAACTACCAGTGTTCAGCGAATTTACCTCTCGGCCGCTGGTTGGCCTCCACGTGCACAGAGATTCGAGCCCTAGTTGAATTATCGATGCTTAAAGCAGCCTTGTTAGCCTTAAGATTCACTGTTTTTCACGTCATCAAGGAAGTATCGTATGAAAAATATGCGTACTGCGATCGGTTTGTATTATGAGACACTAGCTGAAAGAGACATGTTTCAAAGATAGGTTTTATTATCCGGCGTGAATGTGAAATAAGAAATTTGAGACAGCCAGTTTGTTAAAATGACTTCCAGATATCGTTATCGAAAGAAAACCGATCGAGGGTCACAGAGATATCGTGCCCAAATTGAGATACAGTGAGAAAGATGGCTAAATGGTTAAATGTGCAAATGCGAGTCTTTCTGTGGCAATATAATCTACGAAGTGATTTGGCATCCAGGTACTTCAGCTGAGGAAGACTTACCAGTTACGATCAAAGCTGAAAACCAACATCTTCAGCTAGGACACGACGGAACAGGACCTCGAACTCAGGTCATTCCTTGCAGCAGCCATGGAAGCAATGATATCCGCTGTCCGCAGAAAGGTTTCATGAATGATGCTTCTACGATAGGAGAGTGATAGTGGACATTGTTTACTATGCACATATTTTGAAACATGTTGCCAATCGCACATCCTTGAAAGAATCTTTCCGAAAGGGTAGTGTTTGTGTTGGGGATGCTCAAATAGTCACGCATTTATTCGTGGAAATATGACTGCTGAAATACTATATATACGTATATGCACACAACATAAAAGATTTTTCAAGGATATGTAACATTGTGTCCACAAAAGTCTTTACATGGCCTTTATTTTCACAACTGTTGGTTGTAAATATACTTTTAATTTACAAAAATGTTTTACAAAAAGCAAAGATTCGTTTTATAAAATTAAAATAACTTAGTATAATACTTATGTTTAGGAAAATGTTATATTCATTAGAAAAAATGAAACCCAAGATTTTTGGCAACTATGCGAAAACACTGGACGCGATATTTAATTTAAAAATTCGCGATTTTTGAGGTCATTTTTAACCTGCCTTGAAGCATAGGTTAATAAATAATTTGAGGGTTTTTTTTTTCTCTCTTTAAACACCATTTAGTGATATTCTTTTGTGATTTACTAGTGTGTAACATTCTTCAATTTATAATTTTGTTCCAAATGGTATGCCGAAAGAATACAAGTTTTGAAACGTTAGAGATACGATTAAAATATTCTAACACAATTTTATTACTTTATAATCCTAAGCTAAAAATAATGCAAAAATTTCATTAAACTAGAAATATTTAAAAATTTTAATTTATGCAAATAAGCTAAATAAACAGTTGGTGATATGACAGTACTGAAGCCTGGTATTGTTTTCCATATCAAGAACTCTGCAAGAATCCATGAATAAGCTTTGGTTTGAAAAACAAATTATATTAATACTTTTCACGATAGTATGCTTAGAAGCACTAATCAGTTGACATCAGAGAGTTTTTCCCAGAATGAAGTTTTACTTATAGTAAAGTACAAATGCAAACATTTCGCTATGAATCGCTTAGGAATATGATGTGCAGTTTTAAAACAAAGTGTCAAAAACGTTTTCTTCCCTGAACTATCGTAAATGAGATTTTCATAGACTTTTAGTTCTAACTTTTGATTTCAAATGTAGCATAGTCAGCTTGGGTGCACAGTATTTTGTATTCCTATCAACGTTGTAAAAAATAGGCCTGAAAACTTAATTTACATGAAATGTTTCAATAATTAGAAAATTGTTGTGAATTCTGATGAACATTCGGATTTTTAGCAAAGATATTTGTCATCTCAGAAAGCGTTTTCAGAAACAGTTGAAGAAAGCGCAAGCGGCAATTGTTACATTATTGAAATTACACTAAACATCTCGATAATTTTTTGTCGTAAAGGAATCAATATTTTTATGTTATGTTTTTTATAAGGAGTATAACATTCTTCTAAAAATAAGTATACGAGCCGAGAGAACATAAAATGTTAAATTTCACGACTTTCACAATTTTTTTAAAATATTTATTCAAACATCACAAAACAGGAAATTTTGCGCCATTTAAAACACTTTTGTAATTTAAAATATATATTTACGGCCAACGATTTCGATACTAAAGGCCGGAGAAATATTTTCATAGACATTGTGTACCTTTTCTAGCTGCTTCTGCCTCTTACATAGGTGTAACCTAATGCAAAATTCCTTTCTCTGGAATGACAACGCTAAAACGCAGAAAGTTCGTGTGATGGAAGAATATTGTTAGCAGAAAACAATGTGCAAAGATGGACAGCTCGGGTTTCGGTCTCGAGTCTCTCTTCTCAAAATCTTGACGCTCTTGGATGAATCTTACAAAAATAATGAACTTCAACTCTACTGAGCTCACAAATCAGTCATGGCTGTAAATGGCATATCACTTTCTGGAGTAATAAGAATCAAAACCGAAAAACTTGTTCATTATTCCAAACTGACACCTCAGATTTATTATTTTCATGCATGTGCTAATTTTAAAAGTAAAATAATTTACTTGAATCTTGTCGTTTTATACATTATTTATTTCATTTATTACGAGAGACTATTCATGAAACTTGAATATGTTTCTAAGTAATTTTGAAACTTTTGTGATTTATTCTGAAGTTTATTTCAAATTAGTAGGTTACCAACTTCAGAGTCCTGAAATTCACTGTGATAATCTGGATAATGAAATTGCTTTTCTGCAAGAACAATGCTACAACACTTGTTATACAAACCTTTGCTAAATTATTTGTTTATACGCTCAAAATATATCTTATATGCGAAATATTACCTTAACGCTATTTCTTGAATTTAAGAGTTCATGGTTTCCAGTAAATAAATTGCATCAGTATAATAATTAAAAATACTCATGATACTCTGTCAAATTTTATTGCCACTCTAACGAAATTTCCCTAAGAAATCCTCACATGTCATAAGTCAATAATAATTCAATTTTAACGGAATGGTATTCAGTTTCATTTCAGAACAAAAAAAAAAAAAAAAAAAATTGACTGAAAAAATAGTTTCCACTTAGGGGCGGTGACTATGAGAAAATAAAATCGCACAGAGCAGCGGAACAAGATTAAGGTCCAATAAAGAATTTCATATAACAATTTTTTTTACGAAATTTTATATATTAAATCTTCACCTTTCCAAGCTCCGCTTCTACACTCATCTTCATCTTTATTTCTTTATGGTACCTTTCATGTAAATTGCTGGAAACTAATTGCAAGACAGCATGCACCTGAAACAAAAAGCAGTCAATATTTATATGATAATATGCAAGTCAAGGACCCAGATAAATAGTTCTATAGTAATTTACTTCTTTCTCTATTAAAAAAAACTCTCATTGTCTAATTTTGCTGGAAAAGCATGTGACTTAAAGCTAAGAATTATATCACCACGAGTCTTTTAACTGAAAAATGCATTTCGATACGTAATTTTAAAATGTACCTATAAAAACCACTGATGGTAGAATTCCGGATGCTAATTGTAGTAGTAGCATTTAACAATCATCAGTCAATCGTTTAACATCCGTTCATCACAGCAATATTTCCCAATTTCGTCTGCACAATGTTTGACGACTTTCAGTTTTTGATAACAAATAATTAAACAGATTTCTGATGCTCTGCACACACTTTGGCAAAACAACTGACATGTGTCCAAATCTTTTATTAATATTCTGGCTGTCCAGCGAGGACTGGATTATTGAATAACAGAAAAGTATTCAAGGTTATCTGTTTGTACTTTGTGATAGGATAGTGCATCTAGAGTGCTGCAAAGCCCTCGACGACTATCTGCCTGCTCAAAATGTGTGTGTGTGTGATTATGGCAAAGCCTGGAGGGCTATCTGCCTAAGAGGAGGGATGCCTTCGTGGAGGACTTTCTAAGGGAAACTGGCTCGTATACACGTTACACATGGGGAAAACCACGAAAACGCCCATGCTGCCAGCCCGTTCGCGGGATTCGAACCTCGGACCGAACTACCAGTGTTCAGCGATTTTACCGCTCGGCCGCTGGTGGGCCTGCCTGCTCAGAAAGATTCCTTTGTTGAAAACTTCTTAAGTGGGTTGCATTCACGTTGCAGAGAAGGAAAGCCATGACAACCCTCACTGTTAGTCCATCTCCAGACTTTTGAAATCACCAGTTTTCAACGGTTTTTATCACTTGGCCGCTGCTGGTGGGGGTGGAGGGTAGGATGGGATGGGATGCTTTCATCGAGCAATTCTTTTCGAGAAATTTGGCCGTATTTACTTCCCGCACAAATAAAATTTGAAACAGGAAGTAAACCTAGACCGCGTAGAATAAAATGGAGAGCTTTTGTTTCGTGCTTTTAACAACTTGGCCTCTGATGGATCTCTAGAATGAAAAATTATTTTTTTTTAAAGAATCCAAACTGCAGTTAACCCTTATGCAGTTAACGTTTAGATACATATCCTTTCATCACGTTTTCTTTAAACTTTTATTACACTTTATATAAAACAGTTCAAGTTTACTGTTATGCATCTCTAATAAACTGTAGGCTTAAATTAACAAATTGTAGGGTGTTACTTATATATATGCTTAAATCAATGTCTTTCAGACCGTCGCCCAACAGGTTTAGTGGTTAGTGACCCTGACTGAGCGAGAAGCCCGAGTTCGAATCCCGAAGAAGGCATGGTTGTAATTGTCCGTTTCTACATAGGAGGCAACGGTGGCTACCTATTAGGTGCTTCCATAAGGAAATGGCCCCCACTTCTTGCACTTGTAGTGGCGCAAGGCTAATGGCTATTAAATAAAGCGCCAGGCTATTAAAAAAAAGTGTCCTTCAGACCCTACTAGATTGACAAGCGAATTATCGCTCTAGTCTGAATTTAGATGACAAAGTCCTACGAATGTGAAAACCTTTTAACTGACTCTTTAAATTTAAGAGAAAGCACCATCTGTGCTATAAAACAAAACTCTGTCATTTGTGGATATTTAAAATAGCAAACTGAGATTCAAAGTTACGTAATATAGTCGAAGACTACACAAAACGGTCTATTTAAGTTGGCTTAGTTACTTAAATGGCGCTTGTTAAACATCGGTTACCAAAATGGCTAAAGCAGGAATAATAGTTGGAAGAGCTGGTAATAAGATTTAACTGCAAATGAGGCTTTAACTCAGACATTCAAACACTCAGCTTAAATACTTAAAGACTAATTTTCATTCTAATGAGAACTATGGGAATAAGAAGTTCCAGTAAGGGTTCAAACTATATAATAATCGGTTAATTAACATAAAGCTTACAACATAAACGAGTAATCAGGAAGCTATGGCTGCCCTTTTTTTTTTTCGCTGCTCATAACTAAGTGAATGCCTTGTTCTATACAGAGACGAATTCTCTTTATATTTTGACACTTATATAGGCGAGGATTCTTGCTTTACAGGGATGTAGAGATGACAAAGATAGCAGCATTAATTTTGCTTTCTCAGACAATATTTTGAATTCATCTTGTAAGCAGCCAAAATTCCAGCAGGCTTGGTCTGGAAATGCGATTTTTAGTTCTCAGGGAGATGTCAAATCTACGAGAACCTCGTATTCCGTCGAATTTAAGCTACATAATATTTTATTTACACTGAACTTATTGAATACCAATTCAAAGTCATTTAAACATCTTCTCTTGAACTACAGAAGAATAGATATCAAACGAGTCTTTCAAAGCTTCGAGACGTCCCTGAATATTCTTCTGATTTTTTTTCTTGGTTAATTTCTTCCAAGGCGGCTTTAGTAAAACGGATTCAGTCATTTCTTTTCCCATGAACTCTAATCAACATATAATTTTCCTCTTAAAAGAAGGCACTTTGGTGTTTGCTTAAAAAAATAAAGCATTTTCCCATAGCAATGATCGATTTATTTCGTTCATTTTGCTATACGTTTCTGCCAGTAGGCCGTCTTACAGCCCCCTCCCTACCTTTATCATTTTAAACCACCTGTATTATCGCTAACACAGCGTGTTGATTCAGTAAAAATGCTACTTACCTGTGAATGCAGTTTCATGAAATATCTTAACGTTTTTTCTTAAGATAACTACCTTACTTCGAATGTGCAACAGGTGGCTTCCCATATTCTTCACACATGAGTTTGAAGTCTGCTTTTAAGACGTCGTTATTTAGCTTATTATTATACTTATTAAGGAACCCTTAGTAGCCACGCAGTTAAACCTCACAAAGACATAAAAAGTACTAAGAACTCCCGGAAGAATTGCTACGAAGTCACCAAACTATCGCTCTGAACATTCTCTGTGAAGTGATTCTAAATTGACTAGTTTGATTCATTTATATGGGAAGAAAGTTTCCAGAAATTCTCTTAAGATCGAGAAGCTTCTCGAATCTGCTTCCAGGGAATGACCCAGCACCGTATGTTAGAAGAGATGCGAAATTCAACTTGCTGAATTTTCTCATCCAGAATGTAATCTCTATTTTTTTTATTCTACGTTTTGCTGCTTATACTTTCATTTAGTTTTTATAAACTTTATTTTCCTGAAGCAGCCGTGGAACCCCTGGGGATTGCACGCGGAGCCCTCAGGGCTCCGAGGAGCAGAGATTACGAATCGCTGCTCTGAACAGATAGCCCTCGTGTACTTTGCCATATTCAAATAACCTAACCAAACCCAATCTTTCGGCACGTATGGAAAAGAATACAAGGGATGCTTAAAGCTCTATTTTCAAGGATAGTATGTACAACTTCATAAAATTTTCGTGTGTAAAGAGTGAAGCATTCTGTTTAATTGGTATATTAAGGACTATGGAAACTTTCATGTGTTTGATGAATAGAACCAGGGCACCAAACACTGACACCGTTCTACAAAGTGTTAAAAAAAGCGTGTAAATGCTTAAAAGGCACTGGTGCTTTCAAATAATCAGGTTAAGGTAAAAAACGTGAAGCAATTGACTGTTAAGGCTGTTATTTGACACAGCTTGTTAAAAGAAATAGAAACCTGAAGTCAGCCTAGTAGGTTGTGAAGGAGTCCACTGCACCTACTGGAATTGGACAATCTAGGTATAATATGAGTAATAGGCTGCATAAAAAAGGCAGTATGCGAAGAAACCCCATTATTTGTGTCTTACTAACACGCGCTGCGTAGCAGCGGCGTAGACATCATCGTGATTGGAGTATTACGGACTAGAACTGAGTTCTCTTTACTAATGAGTCTCGTTTTTGTTTGGAGAATGATTCCAGAGGTATAACAATTTGGAAGAAGCAAAACATATGCAAAAAACGAGGAAATGTCAGTGAAAGGGATCGGTGCAGATACTGTGGGAGAATGATATCAGCGGGCATGATTATGAACGCCTACTCAGATGTAGACATCTTTGTAAGTGCAGCTACGAATGCTGAACATATAGGTATGAAATTCTTGATCCTTATGTATCAAGTGCCCCACCAGTAATCGAGCGGTTAAAGATTGCTTAATACTGGTAGTTCTTTTCGGGTTCAATGCCAGGCGACCGGCTCACTGCATGGCTGGTTTTCACCAGGTCTAGAGTTAATACGAGTCAGTTCCCTTGGAAAGTCGTCTACGAAGGCATCTCTCTCCTCAGGCAGATAGCACTTATGTATTTCGCCATATTCCAATAACCTAACATTATCTCAATCTGTTCAGGGGTGCGACTTTCCTCCTAACGGGCGGCTTAGCAGTATACAGAGGTTACTGGAAAATCTAACGAACAGCATGGAAAAGCTTGGATTTCGACAAGTGTTGACAACATACTTTTATACTACGTATTTCTAAAAAGTTGTAACACCTAATTTTCACCACCTCACTTCGTATCTCCTTTCCTATGTTCGTACTTAAATTTTTAAAAATTTATTTTTTCTGAAATAGGCAATTTTGCATTTTGAAGATATATCGGGCATAACAAACTGTCCCTGTGCAGATTCCATGTTCTTAGCAAAACAATCATTCAAGTTATTGCTATTTCTGAAAAAGAGATTAATTTGTAAGTTTATTTAATTTAAATTTTGAAGTTTTTATTATTTTTCCTTTAACTTTCCAGACATTTTACTATGTAACTTAATGCTATAGTTCAGCGGTTCTCAACCGGTGGTACGCAACAGAAAAATAGGTGGTACGCAAAGAAACACAGTATTTTTAACTATTAAATTCAAAAATCTAGTAAAGAAAAAGAACCAATTGATAGAAATTTCCTGTGATCGAACTCTAACTGAAGATTTCGAAAATGACACGCCTGTTAACATTTGGTTGAACCGAAAAAAACGAATTTAAAGGAATTTCAAATAAAGCTATCAAATTTGTATTGCCTTTTTGTACAACCTGTTTGTGTGAACAAGTATTTTTTCCATGTTATATCGGAAATAGAAGTACAGACCAAAATTAAAAGTGCACCTTAATTTATGGTTGAACTTAAATAAAGTAAGACCAGACATAAAGAAATTGATCTCTCCTAAACAGGCACAAATTTCACACTATATTTTAGAATTGAAGTATTATAATTTAAATGTTGATAATTAAAACGGTAACCAATTTTTAATCTAATAGTTTTTTATGTGTGCATACTTAATAAAAATACCCGATAGGTTGTATAAATGGCAATATTTATATATTTTTAATATTTCTATTGGGAAATTGAAAATAATCATTGCAAAATGTAGTGGTGGTACAATGCTTTTCAGGTTTTGTTTAGATGGTACGCGTTAGTCAAAAGGTTGAGAACCGTTGCTATAGTTTATTCGTGCATTTAATCATCTGCATGTCCAAGTAAATGAGCTGTTTCTCATGCTTTGCCCAAATTAAAGGCGGGTTCGGAATCATCCACTATACTGTAGACATTACAATCAAACATTCAAGATATGAATCTCCGCTAATTACCATACAGATAGTTTAAAGTTTTGTTTTTACTTTCTCTCCAATCCGAAGTTAAACAAGATAGAAGTGTGAGCAGGTACTAACATGGTACCAGCCTTAGCGCTTCATTTTCACGTATACCCAGGTTTATCAGTGTAACTCCTTGGCTGATTAAAATACACAAGTATACGGGATCACGTGACCGAGGGATATAAATGAGAACAGATAGATAAATTTGTAAAAAAACGCAGTACTTAAACAATAATCTTCACGTAAACTAGAAAAAAGGAATCTTATTTCAAAATTAACTTACTTTTTCTGAAAACCTAAGCGAGTCTGATTCTTTCTGCACTAAAGTCGTCAATTCTTCTTGCAGTTTTTTTTCTTCTTCTAACTTCGTATTTTCTTCGTACAACGTAGCTTCAGCTTCAATTATCGCTTTATCTAACTGAAAAGTTTATAAAATAATTCTTTATTAGAAATCTGAAAAAGTCTAATTAAAGATAGTTTAGTAAGAAATTAAAAAAAAAAAAAAAAAGAAAAAAGAATTACAAATGTAGATAATAATTCATAGACACACTAAATTTTCTATAATTTAATTCGAATATTAAAATGCATAACAATATCACGTGGAAAGCTTCTACTATTAAGTGGTCCATTTCTAAATAGTTAAAAAGCTTAAAAATCCAGTATGTTTAGATTTTTTATTACTAAAAGGTCTGAATACCTCTGCAAATTTAAATCCCTGTTATCTAGCACCGAGTCGTTGAACAGACCTTATACGTAATGATAGGGGGACCGGAAAGTAATGTCGTTTATGCGCATGTCGACAACAACATGCTAAGGGCAGAAGTGGAAGCAAACTCATGTCAACACTCTTAACACGTTGAGCGCGGCGCCGGTCCCTGGGGACCGGCAGTGAACTTTCCGTGTGGCCGGCGTAATTTTCGTTTGGCTGGCGTCGGTCCGCGAGACCGACAGTATTAAAGTTAAAAAATAAATATAGTCTCAATGAAATGTGATCAAATTTAGTTTTAATGAAATGTCTTGAAACATTCTAAAAAAAATACGGCTTAGCTCGCTGGCGGCTGAACGGAAAGGGCAGCAAATTCGGCGGCGCGCTCAACGTGTTAACCAACCTTGGTCGACCATCCAAGAACATTTAAAGCAGAATGGAAAAATAAGCAAAGCAGGTGTTTGAATCCGCCATAATCTGTCCGAAAAGAACAAAGCAAACCTATCCATTACATGCAACGTATTGCTTCAACGGCACCATATAGAACTGTTTTTATTGTTTGATTAGTGGAGACAAAAAAATAAGTCCTATATGATAATCCAAAACTCAAAAGGCAGTTTTAATAAGGAGGTTACAAAGGGAGTTTACATCCCGAAAAAGGCGCTTCTGAGGTGTTTGATGGAGAATTCGCGGAATGGTTCATTATTGAATTGCTGAACCTGGACAAACTGTTAATGCATGACCTTTATTGTGAACAATTGGATGGAGTGAACCAATCTTTAATCGAAAAATATCAATTGTCAACAGAAAAGGCGTCATTCTGCAACACCGACAATGCAAGACCGCACTCTGCAAGACGAACACTGGAAAATATTAATGAATTGGGGTGGGAGGTTCTGCCATACTCACCCACCCTACTCGGCCGATATCGCAGCATTGGATTTCCATTTATTCGGATCTCTTACAACATTTTCTTAGTGGCAGCAAAAATTCGAAATTTTGGATGATGTCCAAAATGTCTCTCGAGATATTTTACTCAAAAACCAATTGATTTTTATCGGTCCGGGATTGAAAATCTGCAATTTAGATGGCAAAAGGTTGTTGATAACGAGGGTGATTATATTATTGATTAAAAATAAAAACTTGTTAAAATGCATTCGCTTGAATTTAATGTAAGAAAGCGACATTACTTTCCTGTCCACTTATTACTTTTGTCTTAAGAAACTCATGGTGCATACTAGCGAATGTTCACTAAGCAAACTTCCTGAAAGGATTTGAAACTTTGATAGCAACAATCATACGATTGCTTATTGATAGCATATTCTACCCATTCTTATCCGACGTATACAAGAAATTAAGAAAGTATATCTCTATTATTGATTCGCAATGAATCATTAACTTATTTTCAGCTTTAGAAATTTCATACACATTGTCAACTGGCGGGATATATATTTTGCTCAACCTCACCGCCTTCCGCAGTTTGTGCAAAATCTATCAGTTTCAGCAAATACGTTGAACCTTTTTGAAACTGATTGACAAGGAAGAAATCTTCATCGACAGCACTTTTCATACGAGTCCTTAAATGACAACTAGTCTTTTGAACCCTGCAGCAGCATCCAGCATTCGTCACCAGAATGGAAATTTAGGAACCATCAGTTCATTTCGGTGCTATACAGTTGTCGAATTCAATAACTTATAAAATGAAAACTGAATTGTGAAACTTCCTAGACAAAGTGTGGGCAAATAGTTTGAACCTCGGGTCAGAAAAGTCTTTTCTAACGAATCATGATCGCAGGGCCGTGAAGTTGTTTTCCAGGGCCCCTGTTTGTAGGACGTGATGGGGATGAAGCACTTCCAACAGAAATTTAAAAAGAATTAAAATTACAAAAACGGCCCCTGTTCCTATTTGTCACCAAAATAATCAACATATATAATGTTTCATTTTAAAGTAATTTAGACGTGAAATTTTCTTTCCCAAGCTTCTATTTCTGCTAAGTAATTTTACCTCAACAATGCTCATATGCCATTGTTAAATTTCTAAACAAAAGCTTCTAGAAATTATAAAAAACTATATGCTTCGGTCGATGCATATGCTTGGTAGAACATCTAGTGTTTTCAACTTAAGTTGATCATGCGTGTATATGTGCATATACACTGTAGCAGTGGATGCGCACTCGTGCTGCTGAGTTCGGTAGTCTGCATATAAAATCGGGTACGAAAGAGATGAAAATCACTTTGCAGAGGATTATGGGACGAATTAAACAACAAGAAGCGCCTTATTCGGTCCACGGGGTGGTTTCAGTAATTAAAAGAGCCTCATTAGGCCATCTTTGGCCCACCTTTATTCTTAGACTGCTTAAGCCTTCCACATGAACTATCCTATGCCTGTACATACGGAACTTATTCAAGTACATGAGTAATCATTTCGCCTGATGTAGCGAAAACTACTGAAAAGCCACATAACATTACAGCTGATTCAATACACTTCAGGAGCTATGTTATACGTAAACTTTATTCGAATATAAAATAGTATTCTTAAACTGCTCGGTTGTGTTCCCTGCATGTGTTTAGAATGCTCTTAAGTTGCTCGGTAGCGTTTGATAGCTGAAAGGTAATGTAAAACTTTTATACAAATTACTCGTGTTTTGCTGAATTCATCTTTAATTGTTACATAATTAAACCAAAAGGTAGTGATGTAGTACATAGTATAACTTAATAAGGAGATAACCTCAGGGAATTATTTCTAATATAAATTGCAGAATGAGTAATTCATCACATAGTTCCTTTATTTGGATACAAATATACACTGAAACGAGCACCTAGTTTCTTTTCTTTTCATGATTATTTTAAAAAACAAATGTTAAACTTTACGTACTGATTCGGCTTCCTTGTACATTTCTTCAATGGCTGCCATCTCTGCGTAGTTTGCATTTCGCTTTTCAGCTAGTTGCCGCTGTAGTCTTCTACAAGAGAACTTTAAATTGAAAGGCTGTATAAAGAGACTGCTGAAAGTGTTTTCTATGTAAACAAATATTTCACAATTTTCCTTTTAATGAGGAAAGAAAAGGCTGTTTTTTCCAATAGAGACACTAAAGCCCCGTTCACATGCAACGCTCTTTCGCACAGCTACCGTTTGTATTAGGGAGAAACGGGGATATGAAACAGTTTCGCCTTTAAAGAATGTTTATCTTTCTTATAAAATTGAAATCTGCTAATATTTCAGAAATTAACTTGAATTGTAATTAGGGAGATTACTTATCGCTGTGCGAAGTTTCCAAGAATTCGCCAATCCAAGAAACCAAGAATTTCCAAGAATTCTAATTTTCCAAGAATTGGCGAATATCTGATTTTTCCACAAATGTTGAATAAATCAACGAATATTAGACTTTTACCTGTTTTTATTATAATATTTATGCTATTTATATATGTAAGTTTCTGTGCTAATTTCTGTAAAAATGGAACGCAAAGTAATCTGTAAGGTATTTCTCCCGCCTTTTGGCATGCCTTCGTTGTGTAACGGTCACCAAGCTCGGCGCGTATTCGAGAGGTCCGAGGTTAGAGTCCCGGCAAGAACATTGCTCATTTCTCACCCATCCTGCTTTAAATTAACCTAATAATCCTACAATATTTTTCTAAACCTAAATCAGAATTTTGAGTTACCCTAAGTACTACTGGATTTCTGAAATCCAAGAAAAGTCCTATCCCCATGTTGTACAAAGTTGCCTTTCGTTATCTATCGATGTCGAACAATTCTGCGTTTTAAAAGCGTATTACTTAAAAATTTTATATAACATTTCACAGAAAATGCTATCTAATTAAATGTAAATATTAACTTAAAATTATGATGCTGAAAAAGTTTCTAGAATATTATTTATTCATAAATGCCAATTTCAATTATCATTTCATTTTTATTTAGTTACATATAAATTATAATTAATAAATAATTGTTTTGTTATTGCTTAGTTATTTTGTTTTTACTTAAACATCCTGTTTAAGAAATATTAATAGAAATCCTCAGTAGCGAACTATTAATGTAAATCCCATGGCACTTGCCCCCTAAACTCCTAGCGAATTTCGTTCCTCCCCCCCCCAAATTACTTTATTGATCATGATATTTCAGAAAAAAACTTAAGTTTGTACAAGCTTTTCCCAATTTAAATAATAGGGTGCTTAAAATGTTTGCGGTAAGTGTACAGCAGGTTTATCTAATCATCTTTTAAGTAATAATATCAGAACAAATATGCAGCGCTTCTGACATTTCTGGAAACAATGGGGAATGAATTGTTTCTTACCTGTCGTAGATTAGGCGTCATATCTTATTGGATAAATTGAACTGTCTGAAAATATTGACCTTGTAAAGCGATTCCGGTACAAGGGAACAGCAGGGTCACAAGTTGGAAATCTAGCAAATAAGTGGCTACGGCATTATAGGGATCTCTCTGATAAAAGAAATCCAAGCTTCTTTGCGGAAATTAAATTGTCTCGGATAGTACTTCACAAATGTCTAATATGGAAAGCACGCCACGCCCTTTAAAAACAAAGTCGCATATTTCAAGCTTCATGCGCATAACATGACGTAGTCTCTAACTTTTTTAATACAGGAATATACTCATAAAGGCTCACCAAGAATGTTTCAAAATGTCAAAACAACATGCAGACAGCCGGAACAAAATGTCTGGAACAAAATTAACTATAAAACTGATAACGTTTTTCTTGCTTTACTATTAGCAAAATCGACCATGATATTATCAAAATATCTTTCATGTCACAGTTGTTCTATGCTCAGCATAGTAGCATAGTAATGCAATTTCTCATTTGTAAATTATAGGCAATTTTTACCTAAGAAATTCCTCTCACAGCTAGTAATACACCAACTGAAGTAAATTCTCATCTGCAGTATAATATCTGGAACTAAATTCTAGAGAATATTTTAGAATAAAGTGGAAAAGTTCGAAGCAATTGTCAGCGTCTTTTCTTCCGCGGCAAATAGTTAAGAGAAATAAATAGCAAACAGAAATAATTCTTTGAAGTCCTTTCTCTCGGTAAGGAGGCAAAAGTGCTAGCTGCAAGCATGGCTTCGCGATTTTCGAATGTGTAATGGAAAGAAAAGTTAAAGATGAAATAAAATGCAGAGCAATTATGGATAAATATTTTTTTGCCGACTGCACACCCGGCATAAAAGAAATGTTTGTAGCAGTAAAATATTTCAAAACAAAGGGAAGTACTTTCAAACCTGTGGAGAGTTTCATGGGGTTTCTTAAAGCCAAAGATTATACTCGCCAAGGACTGACAACGTTATTGTTGGATATTTGAACTAAACTAATCTCCAGCTTGATAACTGTCAATGTCAAAAATCATGGTGGTGATACGAAGGGTAAACATGCGGGTGTTCAGGGAAAGATTTTTGGATTTGAATAGCAGTGCACTAAAGTTACGTTGTGAGTACCAATCTTTAAATTAATACTCAGTTATTCTACTCAATCATCTGTTGACACAGTATCTATTCGGAATCCTATAACATACTATTACGAATTTGGTATTTAGAAAGGTAATGTTAGTTCAATTATAAATTAAATGGTTTTATTTCCCGCGCAGTGCAGCGCGTGACGAATATTAAAAGAAAGCTAAGCCGGAAAATTGAAAATACAAGAGCGCGTGCATTAAACATTTAATAAATATCTCTTTTTAATTTCGAGAAAGTACTAGAAAATTCTAGCGCGCGATTTTAAAATCTAATAAAAGGAGGAAAACCTCTCAGTTCGTAGTAGTTACTTAGTTTGTTGTTTAGAAAACTGCTCTTGTTGACTGTAGCGAATTCGCGGATTAGCTTTCTTTAGCTGTTTTGAATTAAGTTCTCTTGAACGTTTGAGTAGTTAAAAGATAACTACTGTGATATATTGTAATACTGCACGAATATTTTAGGAAATTTAAGCATATTTGTTGTGATAATAATAAATTTTTGTTCATTTTTCATCGGACTTGTGCATTCATTTCGTAACGAACCCGTACGCACGCAACACATCTTGGTGTCAGAAGTAGGATAAAAAATGAACAAAAATTTATTATTATCACAACAAATATGCTTAAATTTCCTAAAATATTCGAGACTGTGAGATATTGCAGTATTACAATATCTCACAGTAGTTATCTTTTAACTACTCAAACGTTCAAGAGAACTTAATTCAAAACAGCTAAAGAAAGCTAATCCGCGAATTCGCTACAGTCAACAAGAGCAGTTTTCTAAACAACAACAAACTAACTACCACGAACTGAGAGGTTTTCCTCCTTTCATAAGATTTTAAAATCGCGCGCGAGAATTTTCTAGTACTTTCTCGAAATCAAAAAGAGATATTTATTAAATGTTTAATGCACGCGCTCTTGTATTTTCAATTTTCCGGCTTAGCTTTCTTTTAATATTCGTCACGCGCTGCACTGCGAGGGAAATAAAACCATTTAATTTATAATTGAACTAACATTAGTTTTTTAAATACCAAATTCGTAACAATACTTTAAAGCTTTCTACAAGATCAGGAAACAGGAGATTCGATGTTCTTGGTTTGAAGGCCTAACTGCTAAAATCGCTTTCAGTCATAAGATGAGAATCTAGTGTTAAATCTGTGAAAATATTTAGATTCCAAATAGATGATGCTCACGAGATTCTCATTGATCTCTCAGAACAAATGTTTCAAGATGACTTTGCACAAAGTATACCTTGTATAGCCTAGCAAATCAAATATCCGAATAAAAGTCCCTCACTAGTCGTTGACGTAGCAGTTGTAGAAGTAATATCTACAACTCATATGTGACATCTCAATGTCAATTCCACTTAAAGATGTCGAAACGTCTCACACGTACCCATGTGAGGTTCTTAAAAGCGCTGTAACTGAATGTTTAAGACCACTGAATACTGGCAATTCGGCCTTGTTTCGAGCTCAGGCGAACGCGCTGGCTTTTAACCATGTGTAACGTGAATACAAGTTCCTAAGAAAGTCCTCCACGAAGGAATCTTTCCCCTTAGCCAGATAATGCTCGTGAGCTTTGCTTTGTTCGAATAATTTAAGCAGTTTATCAGAAAGAAGCAAGATGTCTTGGAGAAGTTACCAGTTTTCTTTATAAAAGTTCCCGGATCCGAAGAAGATAAGACAATCTTTGATCTAAAATACAACTGCGTATTAAGATTAGAATTATCAGCTTTAAGACGGGTAAGTTTCCTGTTTAATGCTTGCATTGCCAGTGCTTCTGACATGGGCAATTTGCATGTTTCAACATTCCTGGATGCATGAAATGTTTAAAGGTGAACTACACTTATACTTATCCGCTCAAGAGAGAAGGTGGTGGTGGGGGGGTAGTAGTAGTAGTAGTAGTAGTAGATATATGGCACAAAGCTCTAGAGGCCATATGCGCCAAACGCAGCTCTAGAGAGAAGAAGAAGCCAATATGTGCAAGATGTTCGCTTAATCACACTGCGACCTCAAAGCTGCCCGACGTTTTCAGAACCAAAGAAATACACAGCGACAGACGAGAAACACGTACCCATTGCGAGACTCTTAAGACTAATACAATCACTGGATAAAAAGCCAGAAGATGCCACTGAGATTATTCGGCAAACATTCAAAGACAGATGGATGACCTATCTAAAAGAACTCCTTGTCCTTGCAAAAAAGGTAAGATGGCTAAAGATCCCCAGCAAAAAATAAGTCAGACGGAAAGCTGTAGAATTCATGAAAAAGCTTAACGTAAGAAGTGCCAAAAATCAATTCTAGCGACGAAGTGTTTGAACAAAAAAAATACCGCTAGGTATCAGGAATAGACTTTTCTCTTTCAAACAAATGCATCTCACTTAAAGATGTGTGCCCGATGTGTTAAACCCTTCTCAACCTGTTAGTTCTCCCTCTGAGAATTCCAGTTTATGATATACAACGAGTCCGACCCTATTTGGGACTCACGCAGGATTTGGCAAGAGCAGGATGATTTCTCTCGCTGTACTCCATATAAACACCATCGCATCAATGTCTGCATCCGTTTATGCACTTTTACCTGAAACGATGTCATGAAGACTTAGTGTTCATTTCGAATGTTACCTGGGATAGCGACTTGCTTGTGCTTTCGGGCCGTTACGCTTTGCAACATTTGTCTAATATCAGTCAGCTTTGTCTTTTGCCTTTGCTGCGCTTTGAAAACGCCATCTTACGTGTACGTTGTCATAACAGCTGATACCGTAGTCCTTGGACACCAAATGTTATCTCAATTGAGACTTCAGTTAAATACAAATGTGAAATGCACCATATATTTTTGCAAGCGTTATTATTTGTACCCCAACTGTACATTTTGCTTGCACTCAAAGCATTTTAATCTTTTCATCCTAAAATGAGCATTCTAATCACCCACTAAATCTAGCTAGTTTATAAAGCTGTAGACAGAGCTTTTTTCAATTAAATGCCATTCTAACTCGCATTATTAACGTGTTTAAAATTAAGGTTAAACTAATATGCTTCAGACATGCTCTCTTTCGTATTTCGTATGATAGTAATTCAACTATACAATATCGCAGTTTCTATTTTAAGCAGTACACGAGGAAAACAGAATTAAATCATTAAACACATGTTTAAAGAATAAACATACTCTAAATTTTTTGGATTCACCATGAAAGGAGTGGTAGAACTCAGTACTTGAATTTCACTTTTCAAACGGCGTATTTTATCAAGGTATTCCTAGAAAGGAAAACATGTTAATATACTAAAATATATAGAGGTTATAAAAAGTCTAGTCCCAGCAGTTTTACAAATGCAAGAGTACTATTAATAAACATGATAGTATTGCAAACTTACTATAAAAATCAAGTTTTTAAAGAAACCCATGAAATGTGAAAACGTATATTATACATATAAATATGATGTCTGTCATGTAAATAAAATGTATTACATGTATATGTAATACAATGTATTACATGTATATGTAACAACGATGCATAAAATGTACAAGGTATTTATATGTATAAAATGCTACTCATATATGAAACATTCTAAATGCATTACAGAAATTTAGTTCAATATACTGACAATATAGATACTTGTAGAATAAAATATTAAATATTTTATTACAAAACAGAGGAAACTAAGAATTCTCGGCTTATTCTCACTCCAAAAATATGTTTAATAAATTTTTGCTTCAGTATTATACAAAATAATTATTACTTAACTTCATTATAGCAGGACGAGAATTATGTTTGAAATCTATACTAATTTCATTCATGTTTAAATGAAAGCATCATTTGACAGTTATTCAAAATATTACAGATGCTACAAGAAACGTCCATTTACTTAGTTTTAAGAACTTGAAGACATTTTACCTTGTTCAGATTCTTCAACAATACTTGAGCACTTATCGCAGGCTTTATCATGATGTTTTTGGCTCGAAGAGTATATTCTAAAGTATTTAATGTCTCTTCGGTGTTGGCTACTGAAGGAGAAATCGTAGCAATAATTGCTGTCTTAGTTGTGCCGCCCAAAGAATCCTTCAATAAACGGGTTAATTTGCTTTCTCTGTAATCAGTAGAAATCAATAAATTTAGTAAAAATCCGTTAGGAATAACAAGGAAGATTACAAAATTATAGTAGTTTCTGAACAATTAATTAGTTCATTTATATTACGGACTTCGTATTCAAAGTTATTAAACATTATTTGATGAAGTTTCCAGAGTACGCAAAGCAAACAATTACAATGAAATGTATTTAAAAGATTCATAAAATTTACATATTTCATACTAGAGCTCATTTTTTATTGAGACAGCAAAAATATTTTATGCAAGTTTTGTGTAAATTCAGACGTAATTACTCTGGAAGTTTATAAAAAGGATGATCTATCTCAAAATATTTGCTAAGAAGTGTGTTCCCATGTGCATTTCTTTTACACTTGAGAAAAATACTCACTGCCGCCTCGCAAAAAACATTGCAAGAAAATATTTTACACAGAAATATATCAGACCCACCAGTGGGTGAGCGGTAAAGTCGCTGAACAGTGGTAGTTCAATGCGGGGCTCGAATTCCGGGGAACGGGCTGACTGCACGGGTGTTTTTGTAGTTTTTCTTATGTGTAACGTATACGTAAGTTTGCTTGGAAGCCAAGCCAGTTTTGCTTGGAAAGTCCTCAAGAATTAATTTCTTACCTTAGACAGATTGCCCGCGCGTGCTTTGCCGTAATGATATAAACCAAAACGCAGAAAAATATCGCATATGGTTTGCATTCAGGGGTGGGTAGGGCTTTCCCATTATCCACACAAATGCTTGCGGATAGGTAGTATTTTACCATTATTTAAAATTTCGGTAGTCTTAATATTTCAAAATATTTAAAGAATATCCAAATCGCTCTCACAAAACATTTATGAAAACACAACGACTTCGCAAATATGTGAATTTCGTAGAACATGAAATTATTTAAGAATTCGATTTCGAAATCTTCGTTGCGATGCAATAAATTAAATATTAAAGGAATAATGTGAGTGTTCACGTACATTTCTGCAACATACGAATATATATATTTTTAAGAAACGTTCGCATATTTTCTATTTTGTTTGAAATATTGGTAAGTCAGAAGAATTTTACGGAATAATCACTACTACGAACTGGCTACGAAATTCTTTTTAAATGCATAACGTCAATAATCACTTCAATACAAGATTAAAAATCAATGTCATAGATAAACAGCATTTTAAAAATTAACCAAGAATGCAACACGATACTACATGTATAAATTATATTTCATAGCTGATTTGAGGCTTTTTCGAGTTATTCATCTGAAAACAACTTTTCCCGTCTCTGACCCAAACTATTAACTCGAGCACGAGGCCTTTTGCTCGAGTGAAACCATCCACTAGATACGATTTTCTTACAGCTAACTTAAAATAATTTAACAGAAATCTAGTGGTTCTTTTTATATCTGAAGATATCTTGCGGCTCTTTCGCCTGATACAAACGGTATTTTTTGCGGTATTTCTTCAAACTCTGTGCACATTATCCGTTCGGAATTTTCTGTCTCTTCAGCGGAATCAGTGTCACTTTCGCATTCATTATCTATTATCTTGATTTTTCTTCTTCTTACACCTCTTACTTCATCGCTATCTTCATCATTGGTTTGATCCTAGCTGTCGTCAAGTAATCTATGCACAGACGTAATTTCTTTCTTCATCAAAAGAAAAACCAAACTCATCTTCACGCGAACTGATTTCTTCATCGTATCGAAAAAGCATATATAACAAAGCTAAGAAACGTATTGAAGATTACAGATTGGAAGTTGTTTTGAATATTTAGGTTTGGTTATAAGTTTGGTTTTAAGAGGTTATATTTAGGTTTAGGTTTGGTTAAGAGCGTATTCAACAACACGCTCTTAACCAAACCTAAATCTAACCTAAAGCTATCGTTACCACTCGAATTATTGCCTCAAACCAAATGGTGATCTAGAGTCACCTCTGGAGTTACTGCATCAAAACAAGTGGTGAGCGAGAGTCACCTCTCGAGTGCAAAGTCGTAGTTTTAAAAACAAACACATCCGGTGTCTTAAAATGAGGAAGGTCCCTATTTTATAACCCTGACAGTGGACTTTGCTCACTGGTAGGCTTAAATAAAAAAGGAAGAAAAAGGCCGTTTGGATATAAATAGAGGGAAAGAAAGACAACGTCAAAGAAGAAACCAGGCGATTCTGAGGTTCTCTTAATAAAGTAACTTAAAACTTGAAATACTTCAGAAGCAAAAGCTCAGAAAAATTTAGCGTTGGAAAACTGGTCTAAAGAAGTAGGTAGGATAAACACTGAAAATAAAAGCGAATCCGAAATACTGTCTTATTTGAAATACATGCTGCCTGGGAATGAAGTAATGAAAAAGACATATTATTTAGTCGAAATCGATGAGTTTTTAACACAGACAGAAAGAATTCATAAAGAAGTTTGAATTCACCTTCATACGAGCGCCATTTGTAGCTCGGATTAAATCTAGGCGAACAAAGCTTCTCATTCCCCATGTTCGAAAGCATCAGTGATGCGGCTTTAGTCCTATCGTCTACGTAATTCGGGAATGCAAATTTGCAACACAGGCCGCAGACTTTCAGTACACTTTTCCTTCATAAAAATTCCATAGAAAAAATCTAAAGGGTTTAAGTTGCCACATAAACAATCTTAAGAGGTCAAGTCCGCTCCGCGCCAGTCTTTCCTGCGAACAAAACTTTTTGAGTTCATTTCCAGCTATATAAACTACAATATAATAAAGCACATCGATTTCAACTATTATAAAACAAAGCACGAGCGCCCTTGTTTGGCCTTTTTCATGTCTCAATAAACTCCCGACGCAGCCTCTTGGAGCTCCAAGGAGTTGTTGCCGCTAGATAGGGGAGGGCGTGGCCAGGACACAATATACCTAGTTATTTGGTAACAGTATATAACTTCTTTTCAATTTGTTCAACAATTTAGGTAATTTGACTTTGTACTGCAGTACAAATAAAAAACTACTTGAACGAAAACTTGAGAATAATGGCAACAAAAGGATGAAATTAAACTTAGAAACGTTATGGCTAAATCTGTGGTAATCTTCGACTGAAGTCAAAGAATAAGTGAAGCATAAGCATCAGTTGTCGAAATATGAAAATTTTAATCAAATTTCTAAAAATCAATGATTTTACTGGACAACCATTGAAAATTTAGTGTTGAATTTTGAGTCAAAATAATCTCCAGATAACTATAGAGCAGGCGTTCCCAACCATTTTGTCCCTAAGAGTACTTTCTAGAATATCTGTTGGACGGCGGGCACCATTAACTTTTTCAAGGTGGATTTATAGTTGAATAGTTAATAAATACATGCACATAAAAAAAAAAAAAAAAAAAAAAAAAAAGAGATCAGTCGCATTTTGCTTTGTGTTGGTATCTGTGTTGGACGCAATTCCTATTTCATTAAAAATGAGAAAACTTTCACATAGAATTTTATTGAAAACTAAAACATTTTTATTGTGATTGCACAGCAGCGGGCACACATTAAACGATCGGCGGGCGTCATGATGCCCGCGGGCATAGTGTTGGGAACCTCTGCTATAGACAGATTAATGACATGATAATGATGCTAACATGAAGTCATTTTTTGCTGCTAATTTGATAAAGCACATAATCTTCCCAGTGGTTTGTCATAATTAATCAAAGATTAATATTGTCAGCTGATTAGATTATACCCCAACAGCTAATTAAAAGAACCAATGCCAGTAGTTTCGGAGGTTACATGCGCTGAAGGTAACTTTAATAACAACTTTTCCTTAGAAAGTCCTTCGCGAATGCAAATCGCTTTGCCATGATAATATCCAACTACTTATACATAATTTTTGTTACGGTTACTGATATGATTCGAGATTGTTTTATTTCAGGAAAGTAGACTGAACTCTCATCGCACATATGAAATCACTGGAGTTCTTACCTGTAAGGAATATGTTGCGCATTCTCACTGAGAGATGTTATCACTCTGCCTAGAGCTAACAAGCTTTGATTAATATTTCCTGCAGAGAAATAGCAAAAATTTCAAACAATGCAAGTACAATTTTTACATTTAAACAAATTGCATAATTAAAAATGTTTGCGAAAAATTTCGCTAGATTTCCAATCAGCGTAGACAGACCAACGTGTTGTTAGCTAGCCTGAAAATTTTACGCAATGTATTTTCTTAATATAAGGGTCGTTTAAATGAAAGTGGCATTGCTGTAATAACTCAGTCATTTGAAGAGAAAGATGACTGCGCATGCACCTATAGAGTTATTACAGCAATTATTGGTTATTACAGCAGTACTGGGATTGCATGATATCGTGAGATCCCGCCGGATGCGTGTGTGATAGCGTAGGAGCACGTTAAGAGGCATTGTTCGCATCATGGATGTCAACGCGAAGTAGTGCAATTTTTAACAGCGGGAAATGTGAGTGCTTCTGAAATCTATCGTCGAATGCAAATTGTGTATGAAACATAGTTCGGTATTCCGATGGTGTAGGGATTTCCGTAGTGGAAGAAGCAGTATTAACGATAGGCCACAATTTGGTCAAGCGCATGTGATGATCACTTAGGAAGCAGTTGCAAATATGGACCGTTTCGTGAAAATGAATCGGCGAATAACTCGAGAAATAACTGAGAAAATGTCTATGAACATAGGAAGTGTGCATACAATACTGCTTCCTGGGTGATCAAAACATGCGCTTGACCAGGTTGTGGCCTGTCGTCAGTACTGCTTCTTCCACTACAAAAATCCCTATAGCATCGGAATGCCGATCTGCGTTTCATACACTTCATGCCATATACAGTTTGCATTCGACGATTGCACGACCGCGCGTTGACACTGTTTGGAGGCATCCATGATGCGAACGATGCCCCTTAACGCGCTCCATAGCTATCACACGCGCATCAGGCGAGACCTGACAATATCCCATGCAATCCCAGCACTCCTCGCCTTCTATAGGTGCAGTCATCTGTCTCTTTAAATAGCGGAGTTACTTCAGCAATACCACTTTCATTTGAACGACCATTATACAAGTGGTTGGTGGAGGGTTTGACTAATGTTTAGCGATTTAAGCTTTGCGATTTATCACTTCGTTTGAACAAAAATTTGTAAAGATACTGTTTTATGAAATGACAATACGTTTAGAGAGCAAATATTTTAATAATGCTAGCAGCGGTGCCAAGTTGCAGGCCACATATGACCTACGGCAAGATTATAATGTTAATGACTACGAGCTCCTAATGTTTGTATATTTTCATTCCAATGGACAGAAGTACAATGAATATGCAAATTTTTGATAGCGTATAACTGAAAATTCACTTTGCTGAATCTAATATTCAACAGTATTCTAAAGTTCAAAGATAAACATTTTAAATAAAATACATTCTAAAGGCATTACGAATTTCTTGGGTATAAAACTTTACAGTTAATGTTTTTCTGTTTGAAAAACAAATGATTAAAGCAATCAATAGTTATTCCAAATAACTGCTTCAAAATATTCAAAAATAAATGAGGCTGTTGACACCTTAAATCGTCTCTGACATATATACAGAAGTTAGCTGTCATTGAGGTTACTTAATATGAAATAATTTGTAGTTTTGATGATGACATCCATTAAATTTGATTATGTTTTTAGGCAAGCCCTGTGATTCCTGGGTAAGATCTCCATTAATTAACATACTAAGGAAAACAACTGCATGATTTAAGTAGCAGCTGGCTTCTTAACTTAAAAAAAGCTTATTGTTTTCATACATTTTCTTAGAGTACACACTAAAGATCAACTTCAAGTGTTTCCGAAAAGAAGACAAGAGACTTGTTTTACCATTCCACGGAGCTAAATTTCTTCTAATTTAAAAATAAAGCTTAAAACGAGATTTTCAGTGTACTTAAACCACCTATTTCTTCGATGGCTTTCGGCATATCAGTGAACTATTTCTTACTATAAAAACATGACAAACCGTCTTAATATAACATACAAGTTGCTATAGTACTCCATCCTTTAAAGTCAAATTTAATTCAGAATTGAGTAAACATAATTAAATTAACTAAATAACATACTCAGATTAAGTTATTGAGCTTTCAACATTTTCATATTTTCATATGCGGCATGTTTCCCTCTAAAAGTGGCTATGAATTTTCTGTTTCAAGAAGGAAAAATAAAATCTGAAGTTCAACATTAAAAAACCTGTAAAAGAGCTAACATACCAACTCTTAAACTGACGAATTTCTTAGTTTTCCATTCGATTACAAATATTCTGCTGAATTAACTTTTCATTAACTATTAACCTGAAGTCATGAAACTCGCCTTTTATATATCGTTTGAGAACTTCTATGGAATTAAGAAAATGTGTCAACACGATTACATTTTAGCAAATGTAAATCTGCACAAGTATAATAGTCAATATTCGGTATTGTGTAAATTTTTTAGCATTCTTTTGAGGACTATTCAGACATATTTCACAATTGATACAATTAATTCAGCGATAATCTGGGAAGGTAGCCTTCCGAGCATGTTTCATATATGTATATATTCCACTGGTGGTAAATCTGGTGGTCTGGGGGTCATGGAAGGATATTAAATCCTAGAAGATATTGCCTAGAAAGTCATACAGTCTGCGTTCGAGCGTTCCCTGGCTGCAAAGAGAAACTGCTCCTGAAACTGTCACCTAGGCTGTAAGGCAATATGCCTTTCAGCAGCAAATGCAGAACTAGATCATTGGTAATTTATTTTATACAAATGTACGCAACAGTAATCAGTTCAGAGAGAAATAGAATTCGTTCTAAAGACAATGGCTCCATTCTGGCACTACCTGGGAAGACTGAGCATGCAACAGTTCCATTTAGATCTGCCTACGTTGATAGGTCAATGGGCATCGGTGCTACTTTGGTAGACGGTTTTAGAGAAAAATGTTTTGGCGATTTTTGGCGATTTACTTTGGCGCAATTGTTGACGCGGTTTTTACAATCGTCAGCCATCTTGAAAAAGGCTGTTTTTACGTATTTTGTGCATAATAAAGTATTCGAAACTTTAATAAAAAATAAATATTGTTAAAAATAATGGATTAATTTTTTGTTGAAAACGTTGTTTTTTAAGATGGCAGGCAAATGTAAATAAATACATTTACTACGCGTATAAAATACTAAAGTAAGGTTAAATTATTACTTTCACATAGCAATGAAATAGAATAAAAACACCCATATAAACATTGCGCCAACGTTTAATAGGATTAAAATATTACTGAAACTGAATATCGAATTAAAAACCATCATACCAACGTTTAAAAGAACTAAAAAAATTACTTAAATTCAAATACTTTAAAATAAGTAAATAAGAACGCTTCGTACACTAGAGCTAAAATGACAGCAATTAGAAGCTTACTGCCGGTAAAAAAGGAGAAATGCCTAATACTTTTTTTCACCGTTACAGCGGTTATTTCTTCCACCGTGACCACAATACCATATACGGCCGTCCTCAGAATCGGATCTTTTAACGATCTTCATCTGTGATCCATATTTCTCGCACGTTATTGAAGAAGCAATTGGCGAGGTTTCCTCCAAAAATTTTTAATAAATTTTCTCTAAGCCTTGTAACAATTTATAAATAAATCTTTGATTAGGAAAGCCAGGTTGGCCAAAATAAGGTCTTAAAGAACATTTTTTTTTATTCCGATTCCAATAATTCTTGGTACTTACCATTAACAATATTAATCTTTGAAAGGGACATATCCGTTCCCTATGAAATCTAAGGAATTCGAAGAAATAAATAATAAAATTTTTAAATAGCGCCGTAATGCACAAATATTCAGTAACCAATCAAGGAGCTGATTACAGCTCGTTAATGCAAAAATATTCTGTAACCAATCAGGGAGCTGATTACATCACGCATAGTATTAAAATTATTTAAATAATCATACATAATAAAATAATTTTTCAAAAATGCAAAATTAAATTGTATTTTAATATTTAACAGCCATAAATAATGTTTAGAGCATTAGATTAAATTTATAGACATTAAAACCAATTACTTTTAAAACAAGGTGACGTCGTTGATAACATCATCCACAACATAAAATTATATAAAATATCAAACAATAAAATTTTTACTTCAAATAAAAACACAAAATTACTTTGATTTTTAATATTTAAAAGACATAAATAATATTTAAAACGCGGAATTTATGCATAATAAAACGCATTATTTTTTTAATAAAATGACCACAAAGTATCGGTTACCATAAATAACTTGCCCAGCAATGGGTTTACTATAAGTCATATCGCTCGCCAAAAACAGAAATCGCCAAAATCCGTGCAACCGTCTACCAAAGTAGCCCCGTGGCATCTTCCTTAACCCTTTCGAGATGGCGCATCTTAGTTTATGACTTTTACCTCGGGATGGAGGAGAGTCGAAAGAAACGGGAGCTTTTGCGTCGCAAAGCCCAACTTCAGAAAAAAATCATTAAAAATTTTTTTAAGTCGTAACGGCGTCATTTTTGGCACTATTTCAGATTACTACTTAAGCTATCATATACGTTAAAATTAGCATTTAGTAGTATTTTTTTTTTAACTTTACATGAAATTATATTAAAAATCTGCTTACTTTAAAAAATAATTTTTGCATGAGCTATTCAAATTATTTCGAAGTTTTAACTGGAAAAACACATCAATAAACTTTCAAATTAAATAAAAAAAGTACAAAAAGACTGTTTACAAGAAGTAACTATCTTTCACAGGAAGTGGAAGGCAGGCACTCCGAAAGCTCAATCTCTTACAAATGCTTCTATCAGAATCATAGAAATATCACTTTAGAAACTTAATCATCACTCTAATCCATGTTGGCTCATTTACTAAGCGAGTATGTCTTTCCTCTGATTTCCTGCCATAATAAACTGGCATCAATTTTTTCCAAAATAAAAAGAGGAAAACGCGAAATACACTGCTCGACATTGAAAATGCAACAACAAGATGGAGTGGTCAGAAAGTGATGAAATTTGGAAAGAAAGACAGACAGCAAGCAGCAATAAGTGATCTTTATTTCAAAATGATAGTCAGAATACAGAGCGAGAACGACGTCGGCTCAGTAGGATGTAGGACCACCGTGGACAGCGATGCACGAAGAAACACGTCTAGGATATAGAGTCAATAAGAGTGCGGATGGTGTCCTGAGAGATAGCTTTCCATTCCCTTTCAGCCATTTGCCACAGTTCGTCTTCTGAACGAGGCAGGGGCAGAGTCTGCAAACAGCGTCCAATCACATCCCACACATGTTCGATTGGTGACAGGTCAGGAGAGTCCGGTGGCCAGGGAAGCATCTGTATACCTTGCAGAGCATGTTGGCAAATGCCAGCACTTGCCAACATCTTGTGGGAGGGCGTTATCCTGCTGGAAAATTGCATTAGGCAGCCTCCGAAGGTAGGGGATTGCCACCGGCCGCAGTACATTATCCAAGTATCGTTGAGCCGTCATAGTGCCCTGAATATCAACTAGAGGTGACCTGGAATCGTAGGCAATAGCGCCCCAAACCATTATGCCACGTTGTCGCGCGGTGGGGCGTTCCACAGTTACTGCCGGATTAGATCTGTCTCCAAGTCGACACCACACACCTATGCGGCGACTGTCACTGGATAAACAGAAGCGTGACTCATCTGAGAACACGACCTTTCGCCATTCTGTCATCCACATCGCTCCAGTCCGGCACCATTCTAAACGTTGGCGTGTATGTTGTGGGGTCAATGGCAGTCTTCTTAACGGACGCCGTGAGTGCAGGCCACGTTCAACCAATCGACGGGAAATGGTTCTGGTTGACACGGGAACATCCAGGGTATCTTGCACATGCTACAGAATCGCGGTACAAGTGACTTGTGGACCGCCACAGCTTGTCGGCGGATGCGTCGATCCACGCGTGCTGACGTCACTCTGGTTGCACCTGCACCCCTCCTCCTTCCCACATTTCCTTGTTCCAACCATGTTCGCCATAGCCGATGCACCGTGCTCGCATCCATGTGGGTATCCGCTGCGATTTGACGTAAGGACCAATCCGCCCTTCTCAGTCCGATCACGATACCCCTCGTAAAATCGTCTATCTGCTGGAAGCGCCTTGATTGACGGCGGCCTGGAATTCTCTCTTATTACACGTATACTTAGTACTTTTACTACTAACCCTTCTTTATTTTTGCTTAGTTATTTTATGTTTTCTGTGATGTTTTATCAGCAAGATTTTTAGAGTAAGTGATTGGAATGCTGATTGTATATTTTTAAGTCCTTTTTGGTTTCTTTATACTAATTTTTGTGTACTCAGGGCTCGGGCTTTGGGGACCCGGTTTTAATGTGTGGTTTGGTTGGCTTTTAAATTAATTTTTTGTTTTGCTCAGCTAATGAGAGGAAGAACCGCGGATCTCTGGTTGCCATCGTTTTGGTTTGGAGGAGGGTTGGCTTTTAATCACATGGTCCCGCTGGGACAAGGCGGATTGGGTCTCCCTCGAATAGTTCACCAAAATAATGCATCTGGGCTGGAAGTGCCTTCGTTGACGGCGGCTTGGCATTCTCTCCTATTACACGTATCTTCCGGGACAAAAACCAACTTTCTTAGATAATTCGTCTGGCAGAAATAACGACACGAATATCGCCCATTCTGCACGTTCCTTCCTTTATATCTTGCTTCACGTGCTTCGGAGAGCTGCGCCTTTCTCATCATTCGCATAACTCAGTGACGTGCGTCTACTCTAAAATTTGCATAACTTTCTGACCACTCCTTCTTGGCGTTGCATTTTCAATGTCGAGCAGTGTATATCCGAAAGCAGTGTAAAGCCCAACAGAACTTCACACAATAACCCTAAAAAGCAATACAAAGTAGATAAAAAGAGAATAAAAAAAAGGATTTGGAGGAATATGAGAAACGCGATTGTTTATACGTATAACGTGGCGAGGTAAAGATACGGTCTCCTGTTTGTTTACATTATGCTTTACTCCCCCCCCCCGAGCGAGTCACCTTTCTCTTATTTCGAGTAGAAGGTTAAATCTACACGTCCGTCAAATCCTATGGCCATGCAATGCCATCTTGTAGCAAAAGTTATAGATTTTAAAACATTCCAAGACACTAGCACAAATATGTGACGGCAGGGGGGTGAACGAGAAAACGCTTTGGCACGACAGCGTGCCGGCCGTTAAAAGAGTGCGTTTCTTGCTGGCACGTACACGTGACAATCGTCACGAAAAGGTTAACAGATGTCAAACTCTGTTCCCAGGTTCTTTGAATGGATAATTTCTGTGCCGTTTGCGTGGTCGCAACTGTTTTGATTGCGCAGTCATATCCAGCATTTATTTATTAGACACATCCCGAGGTCTTGTGTTGATTACATGCATCTTCTCAGATTCATTTTTGCAACACCACGAAATTACATATAGCACCAATCAAGTGAAACCTGTATGCTTTGTCGTACTAATACGCTTCTCATAAGTATATGGATAAGGCTTCTGTTTAAATCAGACGATCATTGTCAAGTATGTCTCAAAAGCATTCTTCTATGCATTTGCAGAATCAAAACGGAAAATCTGTTTAAATGGGCTTATGGCAACACTAACTTAAAAACTTCCCAATGCTTGTTCTCTTAGGTGCTGTCCGGGGTTAGAATCTCGGCGAATGGGTTGGCTGCATGGCCGTTTCCACAGTTTTCCCCATGTGTAACATGTATACGAGCCAGTTTCCCTTTAAAAAACCTCTACAAAAGCATCCCTCTCCTTGAACAGAGAGCCATCTAGTGCGTTGCCATTGTTAAATAAACTAAAACCAACCTGCAGCAATACCGGCACTAAAATTCTGTTCATGCCAAGCCACTATAGCTAAAGTTTTACTGACATATATTTTGTAACAAAGTTCCGAAAATCTAAGTAATTCAGAAACTTACTTTAAAGATACAGCTTCATCACCAATATGTCTATTAGCTCCAGGTTTCAAAATGTTCTTTCCGATTTCAGCATTTTATTATTCAGCAACGTTTGCAGCGTGACTTACAAAACGTGCATGAAGAGATTAATTAAAAGTTTGCTGTGCATTGCAATAAAGTTCCTCACACTACGATGATTTACAAATCCTTGCAGATCAAATGTCAGCTCATCATTTAACACTAACTAATCGATAAACAGAAATCATTTCACAATGGACTTCAGTTTTTGCAAGATCTGTATTTGATATAGCCGGGAAACGGAAGCTTTACCGAAAAGCTTTCTAGGGGGTTGATTCTAGAAGTCCATTCCCGATTGGCAAACCGAATAAATTTTTATGAGTACTGAAGTCCTGTTAAGTAAAAAAATTCTTTCGTAATGGCTATGTATCGAAGCAGTCACTGTCTGCAATCGGAAAGAATATTTGAGAACACCCTATTAGTTCCTAAAGATTTAACTATCATTACAACTTTTTGCTTTTTGTTTAAATAAAAAGAAAACCAAATACATACACCCAGGGCCCACCAGTGGCCGAGCGGTAAAGTCGCTGAACACTGGTAGTTCGGTCCGAGGTTCGAATCCCGCGAACGAGCTGGCTGCATGGGTGTTTTCGTGGTTTTCCCCATGTGTAACGTGTATACGAGCCAGTTTCCCTTAGAAAGTCCTCCCCGAAGGCATCCCTCCCTTTAGGCAGATATCCGTAGTGTGCTTTGCCATAATTAAATACACATACATACATACACCCAGAAAGCAAAAACCGCTTTACCTGCTTCTCTTGCTCTTTTCTCAATAGCTCCAGAACGTCCAATGTTTTCACTACCTGCCAAATCGACCTGAAAGTAAATTCATATGAAGAGGAAATTATTAATTTTTTTTCAAATATTTTCTAATTGTCATATTTTGATGACATAACAGTACCAAAATTGAGATAAAATTGTCAGGACCAGGCTTAAATACTGAAAACAATTTAACCGATAACATTAAAAACTCGTAATTCGGCCCTTCAGTTTCCAGCCTGATTCATGTTTGGAATTAAAAACACAAGATTATCAAAAAGTTTTTTAAAAATGTTGAGAAATAAAGACTTATGATAGGTGACATAACCAAGGAATAATCGAACATTTTCTAAGAAAAAATTAATGCGTGCATATGTAAGAGATTAAAAAAAACAGTTAACATGCCGAATTCTGTGAAATGAAACTTCTGAAATATAAATTAACAGGAAATAACCCTAATATTTTGCTTTCTTTTTCAAATAAAAACTCCTGCTTGTTATCCAAAATAATCAACTCTTTACTACTGAAATAAAAGTAGAAAGAAAACGCCAAGAGTAAAATACTCAGTGCTGTAGAATTTTAACTATTATATTATACAGGTAAAAGAGAATTTCTACAACTGAGAGGAGAAGTAGGGCCGTTTTTATATTCATATATAGTATATAAACAGCGAAATTATATTAAGATTAAAATATACTCAAATAATTTCATTCATTTTATTTACCATTATAGATCTTCCGAAATAACGTTTTACTGATTCGAGAATGATAGACTTATTCAAAATAACACAAATATAGTTTCAGCAATCATGGCTAGGTAATTTCTAAACTAAATGAATATTAAACAGCAAACTTACTAGATTCAATTTTCCTATTTTGGTTCTTTCTATTGTACTGTAGCATTCTTTTGTTTTCACTGTGACCGTGAAGATAGTATGACTTCTACTTGACATTTTATTTAACAGCGTTGCCGCTTTTCTGCGCTTTTTGCAGCCCTTATCCAATATTGAGTATATATCGTCCATAGAAGTCACGTTTCGTACTGTCAGGCCTTGCACAACGGAACCCTACCGACATTAATAAAATGGAAATTATAGAAATATATTTACTTTTCCACAGTTATTCATTTCATATAGGATGCAACAAATCAATTCAATAGTTACGTGAGAAGTGTTGATTCAAAATCAGCTTACCCCGAAGCGAATATATAGTTCACGAATATTATTTAAAAATGTTTTAATAAGCATCTGGCTTAGCTGTTATAATTACATTTTTTACATGATAATTGTTTTTATAATGGACCAATTTCGCTTAAATCTATCATATCGGTCTCTCATGGCTCACGGTTCAAAATGCACGGAAAATGCATCTCTCGAAAGGTTAATGGCAGGAGAAGAGGACTGGGAGACCCTGGGGGTGTTCTCCCTCAAAACTAGGGCGGAAGCTTAACAATTGACAAGGCCCAGCGGTACCTGACATACACCGAATGCAGAATGCACATATTATCGGTCTGTTAACTCAAATGTTTTAATTTTTTGAAAAATTCCGTAATAGTTTAACTGCAATTCAGTAATAGTTGTATTTAATTTTTTTTTGGCATTACATGGTTGATTGGTTAATTGATTAAGGTAAAAACAGGCGAGAGCTATCTGGCCTAAGAATTACTTCGCAGAGAAAACTTTATAAAGGACCAGGTTACATACAGTCAGCTCATTCACTGGGATTCATAATTCTGGATAAGCTAGTATTCAGTGGTATCCCCTTGGTCGCTTGTGGAGCTACGTCAAATTCAGAATATGAAAAAAGAATTCTCAGAGCATCTTACGCTACAAAATTTATTGCACTCTAAATTTTGAAATTTAAAATTAATTAAATATAGAAACCTGCAGCAACTGTTGCGTTTTTATATAAGAATCGCACATGGTGCGTAGAAGTCTTTCAAAAAATAATAACTTAAGCTCTCAAATTAACTCTAAAATGAAGAAAATTTCTATTAAAAATGTCGGTTGACCTAATTATGTAACTACTGAAATGTCATCTAACAACGTTTAACCCTCTGGACGCGGGATCCGTGAATAACACTTTCACCTATTATCTTGAACATATTCGGGCAAATTTCTTACAGCGCCGGTAAAAACCGGGATTTCAACTACAGTCAATTTCGCAGGGAAAAAAAAAAAAAAAAAAAGGTTTATGAATTTTGTGCCTGAGGTCAGAGGGTTAAATTAATGCTCATTTTTTGCAGTAAAATAAAAGAATGTACTACTACTTACTTTATGTGTAGTATCAAACAACTTCAACTTATTTAAGTCGTCGGTACTTGAAAGTAAATCAAAAATATCTTCATTATAAAGTTCAAGGAAACTGACAGCGATATCAAAATTTTTCTGCTCTTCGAGTTTATTGAATATATGCCTCATAGCTCTGGGAATTATGCCTGGTAAGGGATCCTAATGAGATATTGAAAAGTAAAAGAATTAATTCTCGTGGAAGATACTGCCTAGATAAAATTTCTTGAACTAAGCCTTAAGATATTTTTAATATTTTCAGAGCTTTGAATTAGATTTATATCACAGTGAAAACTAACTAGTTCCATTTGTAGATTTTCTGGGGCGATTCTTGTGGTCTTTCTTAATGATAATGATAATGAAAATAACATAAAACTACACCCCTAAATCATTGAAATCATAAATAGTTCTCCAAGTTCTCGTAGTAATAATGCTAATTAATTTACTCGAGAGTCTCAAAATTTTGTTTCAGACGCTGCCAGTTTTGAGACCACTAGTTAAGCTTATAATGAAAAGTCTCCCAAACTTTAACTGTTATAAAAAAAAAGGGGGTGGGGGAATCTACTCATCTAGAAATACGTAACAGTGAAAACTTCTGCTAGTATTTTATAGATAGACAGTTAAAAATTGTAAAAGATTCGGCGATTTTCCAAACGCACTTTTTGAAAACCGCAAATCAAATGCTTTCGTTAAACTGTTGAAATCATAGGGGGAAAAAAAAGAAACATATGAAAAGCTTCAAATGTTTTTCTCATTTAAGAAGCGCATAGTGTTAAAAAAATGTTAAGTCGATGTAAATAGAAAATATACAAATCTGATTATATTTGGCGATGCAGCACTATTTCGGAATTGCCAGGAAATTTTTAAATTCTGCCAAATTTCGTCAGAAAGCTCGACGCTGGCAACAGAAAACTATATTTGATAATTTTTTTATTATAAAATATGAACAGCTAATTTATTTTACAGGTATGTATTTCTAGACGAGTTGATTCATATGCATTGTTTTTGAGAAAATTTGACAAAAAATTGGGAAATCTTCCTTGTCAGAAATTTCTGAGTTGCGCAGTTGTATGGAAAATTAAAACATGAGTTTGGTGCAAATTCGTAGAAAACTGCATAATGTGAAAATAAAATGTAGCGAATTTTAATAACTGAATATAATTTTCCCGTTTATTCATATAAATAGACATTATGTAGCATATTATGTAGAAAACCAATGAAGAGAATAAATTATATTTTGCACTTTCCTTATTACATACATTTTGAAAGTTAATATAAATGCGTTTATAATAGATTGATATTAATAAAGTCATTGCATACGGCCGTTAATTTACGACAAACCTTAGACCAAGTCTTTATTCGATCAAATAAGCAGATTACCTGAACCTTCTAACAAAGTAAGAAAATGTTTCCCATGCCATTTTTCAGTAATTAAAGTAATTTAGAGTTTAAATGCAGGTAAATAATAATTACTATGCACGCGAAGATTAAAATATTTCTTTTTGTGATTTTATTTTTTACAGATTTTTTTTACTTTTTACAGATTTTTTAACTTCATCAGCAAATACAAAATCTTAACTTGAATTATTAAATTTAGCTATAGGAAAGGACATTAGGGACACCTGCTTGGGAAAGGAATGCCTTCGTAGAGGTCTTTCTAAGGGAAACAGGCTCGTGTTTTTGTTACACATAGGAAAACTACGAAAATGCAAATGCAACCAGCTCGTTTGCCGGGAATAATTTTAGGTTATACTACTAATCTTCTGCGGTCTTATTCAATCGGCCAGAACGTCAATGAATTATTTCAAAAATTGTCAGTAAACGGTATTCTTAAGATAAACTGACATACCATAAAATTGTTATTCATATGAGACAATATAGGGCAGAGAGAGAAGTACTTTTTGAGAAAAGTATCAATTTCTAAAAAATTTACGAGTTAAGTCATTCAATATACAGGGAGTTTAATATGTAGTAGGCCCATCATGCTATGAGGTACATTCACTTTCGAATGCTCGACTCTTGTCCTTGTTATTAAACATATGTTTTCTTCATTTAGATATATTTTCCGACGGCCAGTCCATATGTTTTGATCTAGAAGAATGTCTGGAGATTTTGCAGCAAAGAGCTCATAGGAGAACATAATAATACCACAGACAGACATAGCAACACACGAAAACTGCTAGCTCAGCCCGACTGCTAAATATGCAATCTAATGTATTTATTCATAAAATTATGAACACCTTCAGGAAAATACCAGCCATGTCAAAGATTTGGTAGCACACGAACGTTTCGAGTGATGATATCATCAAATTACATGACATGCTAATGATGTGTGAAACATATCGAACGACTTCCTAAACTAGCTAGATCCTGAAATTTATCTGAGCATTTTGATAAATTTTAGAAATCTAGGTAAGTATATCCAGGTAATTTCCTAAATTACGCTCAAAATCTGAAGAATCATGGTAACAGGTTCTCAGAATGCAGCGAAGAGGCAACTGTTGGAATCGATACCATGTCATATGAAGATAAATGCTCCAAGTACAGAAGAAGCCGTAGAAACACTGAGTAAAGATAATCCTAACTTAATTGTCTCAAAATAATCTTCATTTCTAATGCAAGATTATGAAGGTAGTTCAGTATAGAAGATCTTGAAACCAGCACGAGACTAAATAGTAAAGAGGGAATAACAGTAAAGGGGGCCTATGAGTTTTGCGTATCATCCGATTGGTTATGTTATTTGAATATGACAAAGTACACAAGAACTATCTGCCCAAGGGAAGGGGTGTCTTCATGAGGGGATTTTTAAAGAAAACTGGCTCGTATCCACGTTAAACATTGGGAAGCCCACGAAAATTCCCACGAAGCCAATCCTTCAGTATTTGAACCCGTGTTAAGCTAGCAGTATTCAGGTCTTAAACACTTGGCCACTGATGAGGCTTTAATCTGATTTATAAGCAAAATCTACACACAAAAGCATATTTGACATTTGGAGTTCTGCAAGAAATTCTTTAATAAATGGAACATGGCATTATATTCATATTTTCTAAGCCAAAGGATATAAAAATTCATTTCCTTAAAAGATGGGGAAATTGTTATTGGGACATTTTCAGTAGCAATATTAAAGTATTTATTTACCTTAAATACTGTAAACATATGAGAACATGTTTTCATTTCTTTGAACTTTGGAAAAGATGCTTTTATGTAAGCATGCCAAGTCTCCTTATCGTATCGATTTATTTACTGAAAACATTCTAAAAAATATGTCACAAATTAAATTTACAGTAACAAATATGAACTATTCTATATACTCCTTTTCTAACAGTAAACCTGACTTTTCCTATACAGTCATTTTATTAATTGCTACAAAAAATACTTGCAGCATATTTGAAGATACTACAGAAGTTTTGCTTTTTATCTTCACATACATTTTCGCGCTAAACACTATTTCAGAAGCCGATGTAATACAGCTTAAGGAAAATATTGGAATTGCATGTACAAAATTTAATGGTTCATTTGTGCATTACTTTCATCTATTAATAGATTCTTAAGACTCCTAGGAACAAAATTCTATGCTAAATTTTGTTTTCGGAATACGTACATTATTTGGCGATGCACATTTCTTATACCTTTTCTAGTGCTTTCAAGCTGGGTTGGCCTCTCTCTCGAGTATGTAGCAAAATATATGGAAAGTGCTCCAAATTTGTGCATTAAAATTTCAGATTTAAGACATACAGAAAAATCAAACATATTTAATATTTTAAAGTATGTTTAAAATAAAGCGGATTTACTTCGGCTCCACTTTCCAAATCTGGACTTCTTTCTCCTTCCATAGTAAAAGTCTTGCCTGTTCCTGTTTGTCCATACCTGAAATTATTTTAACAGCAATTTTACAGTGAAAGTATGTCTGGCCAAATAATCAGATTTCATCTTGGTAACTTGCTCATCAGTAAAAATTTTAAAGACTGGCAAAATGATTAGACAAAGTCTTAAAATTAATATTTAAAGAAAATATCATTGCATACAAGTAATTACGAAATATTCATTTGCATACGAGTGCCACTTTAGATTTTAAAAAAGTAAATTTTTGATACTCACGCAAATATAGTACAATTAAAACCCATTAGGACATCTTGAATAACAGGCGCTGCAACTTCCTTATACACTTGATCCTTTAAATATAAAATTAAGACTGTGATCCGAAATGTATCTTAATCATGAATTTTTAAAAGAATGTAAAATATGACAAAGAAAATATAGATATGGTGGTGTATTGAGAATACGGCAAAGCACATTAGGGCTATCTGCCTAAGGGCCATTCGTCGGGGACTAAACCGGAGATGAACTAATCGTGTTTAAGGGTATGGATCAGTTCGGGCACTAGTTTGTAGCAATGCGGAGGATTTAGTTATTTGAGTATAACAAAGCACACCAGAATTATCTCCCTAAGGGAAGCAATATCTTCATGCAGGGTTTTCATGAGAAACAGGCTCATGTTCACGTTATACATGGAGTCAAGCCATGAAAACGAACCATGCAGCAAGCCCGTTGGCCTGTGTTTGAAGCTGGGACGAAAAACTACTATTCGCAGTCTGTTTGGCTATTGCTGCCCCCCCCCCTTTTTTTTTTTTTTTTTTTTTTTTTTTTTTTTTTGAAGAGTTTGGTTTCAGCTCAGTTGATTAAATAAAAGCACGCTAAAGCTATTTTGTAAGAAGAGGGATGTCTTCGCGGAAGATTTTCTAAGAGAAATTGACTCGTACACAAGTTACACATAGCGAAATTCACAAAAACGCCTATTTAGCTAGCCAGTTCCATCTGGACTCAATGTGAAAGGAGGCAGTTTGTTAAAAAACGAGTTTTCACAACAAAAAGTGGTAGTAATGTATAACTCAGATTTCGTTTTAATATATATTGGATAAGAGATCGGGCCAATTATTTCTGGGTTCATTCTTCGCTTCAAAGCTTTGATGATTTACTGAAACGTTACAAATAAGTTTTGCATAGCACACGTTAGTAATATTCCTATACAAATGTTTCTTAAAATGATGCTCTACTTTTCTATTCAAATACCTTTTAAGCTATGATGCCTCAATTTAGTAATATCACGATAATAAGCGCTAATTCTGTTGTGTATAATAGTCAAGAATTTTCCTCCTAAAATCAGATGTAGTAATAAATACTTCATGGTTTATTTCAGAAGAAAATTAAATAATGATACATACACCTTCAGTTAAATGAATATTATTATTGTAGAATCCAGCCGTGGCCGGTACTGGAGTCTTATCCGCAACTAACTCAGATTACCTTTCTTATTTATTTACAACACACAACGTAGATTATATAGACTTTGTACAAATAGAAATATGTCAATTGATAGAATTGTTTAAATTTATAAAATTATCACACTGAGCATTCGGCCTCGCCCGCCGAAAGCCAGTCTCCTACTTACCCTTTTTCCGACCTAGAGGACGCTACCACTTTCGTCATTACCTTTTTGGAGGACCGTGCACTAAAGTTATGAAAAGCATTTAAAAGAAATGTGAATGGTTAGGATAGATTTACAGAAGTTTCAAGATAGCAGTCAGACGAGTCATCGTATAAAAACTTCAGTCTCTGCGATTGGTAATTAATCGTTTTTATTGTTTCATTACAGCTAAATATTCTGCATGTCTCATTATATATCAGTGTTAATAGGACAACTGATCTTGCGTCAAGAAATAATTTTTCAGAGATACAAAATAGCTTTTCAAAGGTTTATTCCAAGATAAAACATAATTAATAAACTCGCCGACAACAGCATGTACTGCAGAACGTCTCTAGGTTAAAAATTGCATGCTTACATTTTCTCTTTATATTAAAGATATAAAATCACACCTGGTTTGCTAATAGTTTATGTAAGCTCACTGAAAAGTTTTGAGACTGATTATCTTAAGCAGAATCTGAAGGGCTGTAATTTTTATTTCTTCAAAGATCACGCAGAATTACGCTTTTCAAGCCGTTTTATAAAGGTTAAAAAAAAAAAAGAATATCCTTTTTAGCACTGTGCGACCGAAATGCTTCGATTCTATCTGAAGAGTCCTTTCCAATGTAAACTTTTCAATGTTGAAAAATTTACATTTTGAAGATTGAAGTGACCACTAAATTTAGGATATATGCAGTGTACCGCCAATGCTACAGCAGTAACATGCAGCCGCATCCTGGAACAAAAGAACTGTTCGAGCAAATCCTGTCTTTTCTTTACCAAGATTGTACGAAAATGGCTTTTTAAGGTGTTGGTTCACATAATTATCGTTGTTAACTCTGGATATGCAATGCTGACATTCGTAACCACATGAGTTAATTTACCAAAGCTTATTTTGTCTATCACTTGTGTCAATCTCGAACTGTATACATCAATGAATTACTGTAATACAGCTAGATATTTCGTCACCATATGCATTCTGAAGTGCTACGGTTATTCTCAAGTTTGACATAAAATTAAATCACATCTGCCGTAATCAAAGACGTCTTATCCCCCCGCCGACGACAAAAGGCATAGGTTCTTCTACTCACTGTGACCAAATACGGAAGATCATGGCTGTCCAGTTAAAAGTTCAAACATGTCGGCATATTAACTTCCGTAAAATTTAGTACAGACCTGCTTCATCGTATACAGGAAGGCAAAAATAAAGAAAGGCTCAATTTTTCGAGTTATGTTTTTGTTAAAGCAGGCATTCATACTTGAACTGCGATTAATAAATCTCTATTGAAGTTGCTCTGCATAAATTCTCTCCGAACCAATTTTTCCCGGCTTTTCTTCCATGGAGGTAAGAAAGGAACTTCCTACCGTGTTTTTTTTTTTTTTTTTTTTTTTTTTTTTTTTTTTTTTTTTTTTGCTTGGGGAGGGAGCAGCGCGCTGCAAATGTGGTGTGGTGTATTTAATTATGGCAAAGCACACTAGGGCTATCTGCCTAAGGGGAGGGATGCCTTCGTAGAGGACTTTCTAAGGGAAACTGGCTCGTATACGCGTTACACATGGGGAAAACCGCGAAAACACCCATGCAGCCAGCTCGTTCGCGGGATTCGAACCTCGAACCAAACCACCCAGTGTTCAGCGACTTTACCGCTCGGCCGCTGGTGGGCACAAATGTAAGGAGACTTCGCTCTAACTTTCCTCGCTATGCTTCTTCACGCGGTGTCTGCAGTGATGGTACAGAGAAAATCTTCAACTTGCGAAATTTGACAGCTACAATTAACTATGAGCTCAAACAACACAGGATGACTCAATTAACTTCATTTTGAAGCATGTATCTTCATTCTTCAAAGAAAGATGTTTTTCGGTTGAGAATTCGTTCTACTGTTGTGTGCGCTTGCGATACACAGCTGTTTAAAAATAAAGTAGACGTAATTTAAAGCAGCTTCTTCATACTTCACAAAATAATCTGCATAAATTCAAGAACAGATCAGCAACAGTGATTTTTCAGAAAGTTTAAGCAGGACCTTTTACGGATAGACGCGTGTGTAATTTAGCCATGAACAGAACTCTCAAGAACTGTAAAAATGATGGTCGAATCTGTATTGTTCCTTTGGAAATATTTTACATAAACAACATAGTTTAGGAACTGCTAAAAAGAAAGAAAGAAAGTAATTACATATGAGTGTATGATATTAGTTATTGGCACAATCAATTATGGGCTGCTCTGTTCCGCGTGACTAATGGTCCCCACTACAGGTCCGACCCTTCCTCAGGACTAGGCGCGGGGGTTCATCTTCCGCTCTGGTCCCTCGGAGGAACCGGCGCACCACCTGGAATTCACCAGGCAGTACTGGTCGTTAATTTGCTACCTGCTAGTCGCATGGGCGATCCCACTGTACATATAAAGGAGTATGTACAGTTATTATTCTAATTTGCTAGTAATAGATTAAAAGACAACATTTACCATAATTTTAAAGTCGGGCTATTGCATTCTATACGGCGCAATGTATTTATTTGAAGATAACGTATTGATGAGCACACATGTTAGTTTGCATAATTAATTTTAGGTAATACCGTAACATTTTAATAACCATAACATTTCATCACTATAACAGTTTTAAAGCTCAAAAGATTTTCAGTTCTTAATTACTTGACAGAAATTTGACTTAAAAAGCATTTTAACCGAAATGGTATTTTTCCCTTTTGCCGGCGCAGGCTATAAAGTCGCCAATAATGGTGCAACTGATGCCAAATGGAATATCCTCGCTGGTAACCTTTAACACCTCATTTTCAAAACAATTCGCAGTCATTTCTTATCAGATTGATTGTTTCTTTCAATACTGGCATAAATTACATAGAATTTTTACCCATATAGTTCAATTTATTGCTTAAGGCCATTCGTGGTAATTAAGTTAATTAGGATGCAATCACACCGCTCACCCGAAAGCGAAAATATAGAAAAGGCAAAGTCAAGAGTTAAATTCATCAGTTCTAATAAGAATGCACTAGCGAAGTAAAGCACTGCGGTCTTACATAATTTCTGAGTGAGCTATTCGTACGAATTTAAATAATTCTTGCAATTACACTTGTATTCCGAATTAAGATTTAACTTGAAATTAATTAGATAATAACTGAGAGAATTAGATTTTTGTAGCGTAGTTTACGTGAGATCACTTGGGGTCACGTGATACGAATCGGCGAGTCAGGATGTTGACCGTGAAAGCATAGTACATTCTTAAATTAATGTCTTTTTACAAATTTATTATCTTTATTTATTGGTTTCTTACAAAATTTTAAACGATATTAAAATGTATGCCTTCAAAATAAAAAAAAATCCTTAGAACTAGCATTTGTTAACATTTTTTTATGTGTATACTGTATGTTATCGCCAATACAGTCTGCTTGGCGAGATTTGCGCCGGCAAAACGGAAAGTGCCAACAAAACTTCATTGATATGCAGAAAAATAAAATAAGGGGCTTGTTAAAGAAACATTTAAAAAAACTTACTTGTCCTGCATCAGAAGCAAAAACTTTGTCAAATGTGAACGTTCTCACTGCACCCGATAAAATATCTTTGACAAAGATTTTGTTAACTTCAGGATGAACTTCAACTGGCATTGGCAGACTTTTCTCATTTTCCAGAAGTGGTCTACAGATATTTAGAAAGGGAATTAATGTAAACACAGATGACTGCTTCGTTTGGAGAAATGAGACAGAAACTATGCGACATGCGCACACTGCATGAACACGCGTGTCACATAGCGCTGATATGAATAACCTCAGAGCTAAAAAGTTAAAAAATATGTCTTTCGGGCGTTAAAGATGTGGAACTCTAAGCAAATTTTCAAAAATTCGGGCTTAATTTTAAAAGGATTTTCTGAGTTTTAGCTTAGTGAAGCAGTTGAAATTTTCCCGATTTTACCGTTTCTACCATCGGATAAAACGGAGACAAAAACTTTAAATGAAATTTATACTGAATGTTTTACGTATACCGAATGTTTTTTAATTTACTGATATTTAGCGAATTTCTCAAAATGAATTTTTTTCGAGCATTTCAAGTTCATTTTAAATTTTCAACTTTAAAAAATATGAATATTGTAAAAATTTTAAATTTTCACAGGATTTAAAACAAACTTTTAACTTTTTTTTCAAAATAAGACTAACCAAAATCACTTAATACAGCGTTTTTCTGCATTTTTTTACAAATTCGTCGTATAGCTTCGTCCCATGTGGACTTCCATTCGGAAGCGCTTCATTTGCTGCTATATCACGCGGCCTCCGCGGAAACGCCTGTCTCCTTGGTCATGCAATTAAAACATTTCATCTTCCATGCAAGAATTGCATTAGGACCATAACGGAATTTAAATGAATTTTCGGTTTGACAGCTTATAAACAACAAGTGTAGAAGACATTCAATTCAAATAGATTTTGCTCCGATGACTTAAAAGAAGGTCCGTCAGTACTTATTGATGCAAATACCTACATAAATTATAATGAAAAAAAAAAAAGTATTAATGTCCCTTTTTGCAAATTCGAGTTATTTGGTAAAATATTCCTTTCTTGGAAGAACGCAGTGGCAGTAGCCTCCTTTTCACTTGGTGGAAACTGAAAATCGTCATCATTTTGAACCCGAGCAGGGAAAAAAAATTATTACGAATAAAACGATGATTTTCCAATTCGTATTACTTCGTTATGCTTTCGGTTTGTTTGATTATGACAAAGATTCTGAAATCTATGAACTTCGCTAAAACAGAATTCGAAAAGTAAATCAAATATTTCTTCTCTCCTTCTGAACATAAAATTTAATCTCTCCTGCCATCTAACAGAACCAGGTTTTATCGTTTAAATAAAAAAATGTTTGCAAACCAGTATTTTTCAAACTTTATTTCGCGGTTTTATAGGATTTCTGCAAAAAGGTGTTGCAGTTACGTTCGTGTTTTACGGACTAGATCAAACGACCCGCTTTTACTCTTTATCTTGCGCCCTAACGAGTCTTTGTAGTTACAATCCAGGGCCAATACACACACATCTTCTTAAGGGTGTAACTCCAACTGCGCTAATGTAAATCCCCCCCGGGTCGAGCTATAGTCCAATTGCGCCAATCAAAATTTCTTCCCCCTGCTGCCTACAGGGTTGCAATTTAACTTTTCGAAGCCAATTGTAACCAAGAGGAAAATAAAAATAAATAAATAGAATTACATATCACAAGAACAAGTAAAAAATATCTAACAAGCAGGCTAATTACTTGAATAACAGTAATAAATGCGAGAGCTAACAAAGAAAATTAAAGGTATTGGTAAATAAAGGTAATTAGCATTACAACATCTTTCATTTTATATAATAATATCAAATTAAATAATTATAAAGCATTCCATATCAAAGTGTGCTAAAAATATTTTTTGTTAATTAAAGTAATCATGTAAATGTTTGCAGAAATTAAGTTTAGTTAAATTAAAAAAAAAAGCTTAGCATGAAATCTATTATAACAACATTACTATGCATTTGGAACACTACGTATAAATTGTAAATAAATTTAAATTATTATGCTAAGCCGAAGTTTTTTCTAAAATTTATCTAGAAGAAAGGAATTAGATAAACAATAATGCAAATTAATATAATCAATCAGGCCTCTCAATAAATAAGTATTTTTTTAACCAAAATTAAAAATTGGAATGCAAAAGTTTGAGTAATGTACTTAGAAATATCTGAAAATATAATTAATTAGAAAAGTATAATTAAATTAATAACAAGCTAATTAACAGTAACATTAAGCTTAATTTCATTCAATCTAAAACAAGCAGTCGATTAGGAGCTCCGCATAACTGAAGTTTTAATACTATTTTACGTAGATTTGAGTATAAAATAAAAGTTGCACTTCTGAAACAAGTGTATAATGCACTGATAGTAAATAGGAATTAAAATACAGTGGTTAAAAATATAACTACTTGTCAGAAGGTATGAAAAGTTGCCATGGCTAGAGAAATTGAATGATTATAGAAAACTCATAAAGTTAAGAACTACAGTGTGAAAAGAAAATTCTGTGATAAACATGTTAAGAAAATTAGATGGAGAAATAATTCTTAATTTATTGATATCCATATAAATTCTATGCTTTTGGAAAAATGTTACATATAATTTGCACCGAGGTATCAATCCCCGAAAACGAGTTAATTTCTTTCCTTATTTTTTCTTATTAGAGGGATTTGTAAAAAGATATGCTAAGGTAAAGGTGAAAATTTTTGCAATATTTTTAAAGAATAAATTTAAAAAGTATTTTAATTTCATTAAATTTCAAGTAATTAATTTTACAAATAATTCAGCCTGAAACTAGGTTGGAAAATAAGCTACATGCTGAAGATTAAGCTTTGCCAAAGTGTTAGAAACATCTTCTGTTAACTAGAGTTGTGATGCAAGAATTTGTAAAAATTATCATTTAAATATAAATTGGCATAAATACAATACAAAGTATATAAATTCTACATACATGAAAACTTGAGTACAGGGCAACAATATGTGAAAAAGGAATGGATTAAAAGGGAACTGAAAATCTCAGGATATGAATATAAGAGAGTTTGATTTTTTTTTGTTAATTATGAAAATTCTGCTGACGCTCATAATTATTAATTTATTAATTAAATGTGTATTAGAAATAAAATGTATGCCAAAGTACATCAGGTGGAAACAGAATGAATATTTAAACGTTTCTAGTATTAAAATATGGAATTTGTAACAAAGTTAAATAACCTTAAAATAAATTCAATGATTAAAAATGGAAAGCTTAATACGGGAATATATTGAAATAATATTAGTGTGAATTTAGAACGACTTGAGAAGTCCAATTTTTAGATTTAATGAAGAGAATGTTTTTAATTAAATTAGAACTGTTTACCTAAAATGGTAAATTTAAAAGTTAAAACCATTCTGCTATCTAAGAAGATTTGTTAATATTCATCTAGACAAGAAACTTATTTAAGGTGACCTACAAATCCAGTATTTGATACGTTGATTATGTATCAGTTTTGTGTATGTCATTAATCTATCAATTTTACTAATCAAAACTGATATATTATATATATATATATATAAGCTCGCCTAAAGTACCAAGAGCTGCTGCTCCAAAAAGTTCAACACGTTTTAAAAAATTAATACATATGAAAATCAAACCATTAAACATGTAAAACATTAAAAAAACAGAATCAGATAAAAAGGTAAGCGGAAAATGGTAAATTATTCTGATTCTGTTTTTTTTATCCGCTTACCTTTTTATCTGATTGTTGTTTTTTTTTTTTTTAATGTTTTACATGTTTAATGGTTTGATTTTCATATGTATTAATTTTTTAAAACGTGTTGAACTTTTTGGAGCAGCAGCTCTTGGTAACTTTTAGGCGAGCTTACTACATTTTTTTATATTTTACTTATTTTGCAGCATATTGTGCAAGATGTTTTCTAGACCAAAATTAGTTTTTCAAAATTGTAATTACTACCTTGCTTGATATATATATAACTCAGCGATTAATATCTACAACTTGGAAAGTTTTTAATTCTTACAGAGAATAAAAAAGATCTGGCTCATCATTCCTTTAAGCATCATAAAACTTTAAAATGAGTGTAAAAGAAATTTATTTTTACTTTAGCACACGCCAGACTTTAATATTTGTTTTGCATGCACAATTTTTACAATATTGATAAAGGAAAATAAAGGCTTGCAGTGTCGATAGAATGTCCCATTAATGGCGATAAATGACTTTTTGTAGCACCCAATCTTCTTGGGAAAGAAATAGGGGACAGGAAACGTCGCGCAGTTCGTGGATTAGAAAAGTGGGGAACGAGGATCTTCGATCAAATTTGGCGCAGTTCGTACCCTACCCTTCTTAAAGGCATCAAGGAATGACGGAAGATTGCGGTAGATCAAGGCCTTATGACACTAGATAAAATTGGCCGGGGTGGCATGCTAGGCTAATTAAATTAAGTAGGTTTCCTATACATTTAGATTATGAGCACATGAGGGTTATCTGCAGAAGGGAAAGGAGACTTTATGAAAAGGGGAACAATCAATTTTTGCAAAACACAGGGCAAACTCCCATGCAGGCAGCTAGTTTCACCGAAACACTAGCTAGTTATTCAGTGATTTTACTGCTCGGCCGCTGGTGGCTGCCCCATTTAGAACACAGTAACGAAATTCATGATATCTTAAATGATTTGAAAGCCATATCATTTTCCTCTTCGCTAGGAGGAGGGTTCTGTTTGTCCTAAAATCACGAAACACTTTCCACTGCAGTGAACTCACGTTTAAGAATCCTCATATAGTGTCCGGAAATAGATTTAAACAAGAAACAGTGATGTAAGCAACTTCAGTTTTCGCTACTATAAAATGCTATTGACGTTAAAATTTAGTTTTTGATGCAGGTAACAGTGTTCAAGTAGAAAGAAAAGCTATGACCAAGGTTGTAATACCGTTCCACGCATTATTTATTAACCGCAAAAATGTTAACTTCGTTGTAAAATATTTTATATATCACTTGGAAAAGGATTTATCTATTATAATATAAAAACTGAAAAATCGTATTTAGCACAAATAAGTAACAGTTTCCTTTTTATTCCAGATTGGATTTTTGAAAAATGTGAAATGTGAATCATATTACTTGAAAATGGCTTTCGGAATAATAGTAATTAAATTAGAATGACCTTTCGCTCGTGAAAGTATTCAAATTGCTTATTAATACCATTACGTTAAATACCTATCTGAAAAAAGTTTTCAAACATAAACAATGTATTGAATAAGTGCAGCAGATGTTCAAGATGCACTGAAACATTCGCTCAGAATGCTAGAAATAGCAGTATTTAAAATGTTAAATCATATGGTTTTAACAATATGGCAGTATTATGAGTTATAACAGTCGCAGACAGTTTTTATGTACGGCACTTCCAAACTCTGTTAAAGAATACCGGAGATCGTTTGTTGCTATGTATATCGTCAATAACTATGTTCGTCAGTCCTGTCGAAGACAAAGTGCATTACAAACTTTCACAGTAGCCATACTCCTAAGATGACTTTTCTCTGGTAGCAATCGGTGCTCTAGAACTTTAGTAAAGAAATTTAACATAAGCAGGCATATCTAAGTAAGTTACTTTTACGAAAGCCAAAAACATTCTGGAACCGAGATTGAAAAAACTTTCAACTGACAATTTCCAAGAACAGGAAAGCATAAAAAGTGAATTTTTTATATATATATCTCTACGGATTTGTTACTTTTAAGCCAAATTCACTAGAAAATTATTTACTTATATGTTTTAATTGTAATGAACAGCTTATGTCAATATCTTTAATTAATGACAAAATCTTGAGCAAGATAAAGTAACATGCCGAACAAGTATTAATTTAGAAGTCAAACAACAAAAATCAGCATTATATATGCACATTTTTCACAGGACTAGTTTCGATGGTTTTATAGAACCATCACCCTCAGCTGCCAAAGCGAAAAATGAGCTTTGGCAGCTGAGAATGATGGTTCGATAAAACAGCTGATTTTTGCTATTTGGGTTAATCTTTGGATTATGGTAACTTGGCGATTTTTTGGCGACCAACCCTGCTACAGCAACCTGCTAGTTTTTGTTTGGACGCCATTTTGTTTTCACGAAGTAAAGGCAATTTTTTTTTTTTTTTAACTCAACATTTTTTTTTTTTAAACAATCTGCTAGCCGAATTACGCTTATGCTAGAACTTTTATGGAACAAAAGTGCTTAATCATGACCAAAATTTGGTGCGAAATTGGGAGAAAGTGCAGAATCGCAAACTGCTTACCGCGTTTTTAAGAATTACACATACACGGAATTCATGTACACGTCGACCTATTTTCACTTAAAAAAACATCCCAGAATTGCACAAAAATGGTATTGCGCACACTCTTGACTTTATCCATGTACACTGCTAAAGTCCTAGCTAGTAACCTTTATCGCCTTACCAAAATGTCGCCAAACTACTTGTTACCATATTCCAAAGATTAGCCGCTATTTGACTAAATTAAAATCTTGAGTCTTCAATCTCAGGTCCGTCAGCCGCTTTAATTCGCCTCTGGTGTCAATAAAAATACTTTTAAAGCATGCCACTTTATTTCTTTCTTTGTAAGAAATAACTAAACTAAGAGACATTTCTTACGTTTAAGGGACTTTACCATAGTCGAAATGAGCTGATGATGGAAGCATATTTCCTTGCTGCAAGTATCATGTTGGCTTATAGTTACTTAGAGACAATGGTTTGGCGCGAGTTATCCTTATTGTAAAAAGTCCAGCCATTCTATTATCTCAGTTAAAAACAGGAGGGAAAACTATTTAAAACTTGGGACATTTTTTGGAAAATAAGTGAAATTTAAATTAGTTTACACATAGTTTCATTCTTTCCAGTTCTCAATTACGAAATGAACTTCAAAATTCTGTGCCTAACTTAATACATTATTACAAACTAACGACTTTAGTTTCACCCGATGTGTAAATAATCTTCGAGAATTATGGAATGTGATGAACAATTTTCACAGAACTAGAACTACAGTACATTAAAATTATTAATCTACATGCATTTAAAGGACGTAACAAAAAAGATTTCTAATCATTGTCGTAATTCTTTATCTGGTAATATTCATTTACAAGCAATTCTATTCTTCAGAAAAATTCTGTATATTAATAGAATTCTGAAATTGTGACGAAATTGCTTAAACACATAATTCATTATTTGATAGAATTAAAAGTATAATCTATACTGCATTCCTATTGATTAAAGCTATAAATTTCAAGTATTTCTGTATTTTGTGTGCAGTTTATAAACGGAAAAAAGTAATTGCATCTTACTTACCTACAGCGAACAAATACTTGTATAGCTTCATTATTTTTCTTCTTTTTATTCATTTCCTTCTTTTTATTCGAATCACAGAACAATTGTAAAAGGTAATACTTCTTCGTAACACAAAACTACAGGTTTCGATTATTCCTCACCTACATTTTGCTGAAGTTTAGATAACCACTTAAAAGCTTCATGCTGGATGGAAGTACAATGTTGCCACTTTTTAAATGAAATATTGAACTTATTTGATTAAATAATTGCAATACCTGCTTTGAGCGAATATTCGGGAAACACTTAACAGGTAAAAACTGTTCATGTGACTACTCTGTATATCTTCATGCTTTCTCTCATTTTATCTTTTAAGGTTTCTTACTTACTGTGTAATTTTTAAATCATTGTTTCAACTCTGGGAAGTGGATTTTGTCAATTTTTAGAAGGCCTTTATACACTGGATTAATCCCTCAAGCTTTTAGCCCTTTCCTTAGACGAAAATTGCCTTCATTTAAACATGTAGCTATATCCACGTCCCAAATTTCAACGTATTTTTACTAGTAAACTACTTTTAAGAGTGTTCAGTCTGTCACTGAGTATACTCAAGTAAATGTTAATTCAGATTCAGATATTTGTAAAGTTTCTGTGGTTAACATACGTAATTCTTAAAAGAAATGCTTACGTGTAATACAGTAGAAAAAGGTCAAGCATTATAATTAGAAAAAACCCATAAGTTGTTTTAATTATTTCTTTAATAAAGGAAGCAGCTGTATTTTGCATTATTTAACCTTAATTTCCTAACATTTGACACTTCAAACCAAAACACATTATCTGATTTTGGAATCAGCAATGTTCATGCGATATCTTCAATTATTAACTGGAAAATCAATTTTTAGAAGGTTAATTTTGGTCTTACTCTCGTTTTTTTATGGACTTCGTTTGATGCATTTTATGAGTAATTGAGGATATTTAAATAAGGATTTGGGTACACAGAATTTGCGTCCGTTTAACGAAGATTTAGCGTATTTTGTTAATGATAAAATTTAGTACACCATTAAAGTAGTTCTGGTTTGATAACGATATTGAAGCTTTTTAAAATGGTGAGTTGATCTCTTTATTGGTATAATTGGGAGAAATGTCTGAATCTAAAAGAATTTAGTTCCGATTCAGTGCATGTAAAGTGTTTGAAAAATTGCTTTACAAATAATTTCATAAATCGTGAGCTAACATGAATACTGTATAGATTTATTTCGATATTTTGTTTAATGTAAGTACTATTATTATTAACGAATGTGTTTACAATTAATGTGCTTATTAGAAACGGTATTATGAAAATTTTCATATTTATTTAATAGTTCTATACATAGAGCAAAGGTTCTGAACCAGGGGAGAATTTCACAGTTTAGGGGAGGATAATGCAGTCAGCTTAGTTATCTGTTATATTTGTTTTTTTAGATATTAAACTAAAACTGTATCAGTATGGTATTCCAAGATTTTTTACACTTTCTATTATTAAAAACTTAAAAACTCGAATTAATTATAATATATACTGTGGGTAAAAAAGTATTTGCACACCTACATTTTTGTTTGCAATTCATAAAAAGAAGCATTAAGAAATAAAAAAATTGGTATTTCCAAATCAGAATAAGTTTAATCATCCGAAACAAACAGAAAAATTACAATAATATAAATAACAATGCTTTTTTTGTAACAAAATTAAAATATCTCATATCAAAAAATATTTGCACACCTGCATGAATACAAAAGAAATAAAATATATAAGCAAATTTCAAATAACTAATATTTAGTATGCATTCCTTTAGCATCTATTACTGCTTGTAATCTTGCTGGCATTGATTTAATTAAATTTTTCTGTAACAGTAGGGTCAGTATTCGACCACTCTTCAATAAGGGCTTGTTTAAGAGCAGATTTGCTTGAAATCTTCCTTTTTCTTATTTTTAAATCCAAAGAATTCCACAAATTTTCCAAAGGATTTAAGTCTGGTGATTGTGGTGTGAGTGGCAAGTTTTCTGGGTACATTATAAAGCAACCACATACGTGTTATACCGGCAGTGTTCTTGGGATCATTGTCTTGCTGAAAATAGTACGAATTACTGATACCCAATTTTATTGCACTTTGTGGCAAATTATCTCGCAACACATCAATATAGGTTCGAGCTATCATATTCCCATCAATAAAACACAAATTACCAACTCCTTTGCTAGCCATGCACCCCCAAATCATAACATAACCTCCTCCATGTTTAACTGTAGGTAACACATTTTTTTTGGTATGAAAAGCAGTACAAGGTTTTCTCCAAATTATTTTCCTGCCATCTGATTTAAAGATATTGAACTTACTCTCGTCGGAGAATATGACATTTTTCCAGAAATGAATTGGCTTATTGTTATATTCCTTAGCGAATTCAAGTCTCTTCAGACTATTTCGTTCAGTTATGAGAGGTTTTTTTTTCCTTGGTGATCTCCCATAAATGTGTGCTTCATGCAGGACATTTCGAACACTTTGGGCACAGGTTTGAACTCCAGATGTTGAAGCGACATCATTGGCTAAAGTAATTGCACTAACAAATGGACTTTTTGATGCTTCTCTTATGAATTTTTCGCTTCATTCGCAGTGAAAGTTTCTTTGGGCGTCCAGAGCGCAAGTTATTTGATGTAGATCCTCTTTCTTTATAACGTTTTATAATACCGAACAGTAGAGAAGCAAACATTTACTTTTTTACCTATTTCTCGATAACTTAGGCCATTTTCACGTAGAGAAAACAATTTTTTCTCGCAACGAAATCGGCAATTCAGATTTCTTAGGTGCCATTACAATTTGAATCGACAATCAACTGATAACGTTTCGACAACACTCCTTTTATAGTCGTCTTACGTACGTTATTTACTGCGGGATGACTGTCAAATAATAGCATAAAAATGCAAATTTGCTAAAGTTGAGTTGAGTGTGCAAATACTTTTTTGACATAAGCTATTTTAATATTGTTGCAAAAAATGTTTTTTTATTAATATTATTGTATTTTTTGTAATTAATTTATATGAAATAAGCTTATTCTATTTTTAAATGCCAATTTTTGTATTTCTTAATGCATTTTCTTATAAATTGTGAACAAAAATGTATGTGTGCAAATACTTTTTGTACCCACTGTATATATATTTCGTTTCGAGGGCTTGAATGTCGCACAGTGAACGGCAGATCGGGAACCTTTTTTGTTTTTTGCATTTAAAAAGCCAAATAAAAAAGTCGAAATTTGCAATTTTCTATAACCACCAAAAAAAAAAAGAAGAAAAAAACAGAAGTTAAAAAAAAAAGAAATGTAAATCACCGTTTTTCAAATCCAAAAAAGCAAACTACCGCAATAATGTGAAAAAAATTGTAATAATAATTGAAAGCGAATGTCATTTTAGCGTCAATATGCTCTTCCGCGAGTCTGTTTCTTATTTGAAACTGCGATGTTATATATACTAAAATACGGTCTATGAAGTCTTTGAACAACTGTCATTGAGAAGTTTTGGAGACAGAATGTTGTTGCTTTAAGAATCCATATGGTATCAGCAAGAGTGTCTAAGAGGTTGCTTGTAAAAAAATTTGTTTATCTATCAATGAGTTCGTCTTTTGGAATGTCTTTAAAAAGATGTTATTTTGGAGAAGCTTTCCAATGAAAAGTCTGGTCTCAAAGCTGGTGTAAGAGTGTTCGCGGCTACAGATATTCAAAATAATCTGCACATATGCTTATTGGACTCATTTGTTTCGTTGGATAGCATATGTAAAGACAATTTAATGAAACTCTTCTCTGTTGCTGTCACCAGTATCAATTTGTGCTTTTAATCAAGTTCAGCTTTCTCGTTTATCAAAATACATTGTCTTACTCTTAAAATAATCGCTACTTTGGACGCTCTAAAGAAGACTTAAAAATCAACTAACTGATTACACAAGATGTGAGCGAATGCCTTGTTTGATACAAATATTCGAGTTGTCATCTTCATATTCATTTAATAAAGCAGAAATATTCTCCGTTCATTCACTCAAATATAAGACAGCTTCGAACCAAGAATCCAATCTGGTTATAACGAATGCAGGATAAAATTTTGCTTATAAGTACCTTAAGTACGCTCTTTTTACTTTTTCATTGTACCCCAAAAAACCTGTTTTTGTATCTTTTATATATATATATATATATATATAGACAACATAGTTCTAGATAATAATCAACTACAACATTTTCCATGTAACATGGGTTAAAATCAACACCACGTCATCCTAGGCAAAGAACATAGGAGGACAGCTAAGCATAGTAGCGCAGAGATGTTTTGCAGAGCAGGAAGAGTTAAGAAAAGGTGACGTAAATGCTCGTGAAGCAGTATTTATACTAGGCAAGTGCATATATACAGCTAAGCTGTGATTGGTTAATTTAGATTTTAGTTCTTTTTGCAAGCAGCGTTATGTAAGCGCCATGTGATTTTGGAAAGATCTTGAAATTGGGAGAAAAGATGAATTCAGAGGCGAAACATAAAATTTGTCAATTTTGAGGTTGCCAATTATTTCTTGGTGTAGCCATCGTATTTTATCATATCTTACATATATATATGTTACTGTAAAAGCCTGAAGTCTGCTAAATCCTAGATTTTACCGGTAAAACCTAGGACTTAGAAGAAAAGGGCTAGCTCATAGAGCTTTTACCCCTGAAGCAGAAAGTGAGAAGTGATGACGTAGTTATGATGACACTGAGCGCGGAGATGTAATTCGCAGCTTAGAAATTAGCGTTTTTGAACCAGCGTTTAAAATGAGCTGTGTGTGAAAGATAGCTATATTTGGAAGAGACAATGTTACTGCTGTATGCATTTTACGCTGAACCATTAAAAAATTTAATAATACTTATTTAATTTTAAAATAATAGATAAAATGCGCTACTCTTTTAATATAAAGTTCCGTGTTTTTTTTGTTTTTTTTTTAAATTTATTTGCAGGTTTTTTTATTTAATGCACGTTTATTTCTAATCATTTCTTTATCTGCATGCTATTTAAAGAGATAAGAGAATTTTTATACTGTTTCTAAGATAACTATAATTGCAGCTATTTAAATTTACTCATAAAACAA